AGGGCGCCATCCTCTTCCAGATTCAACCCTAACCCCTGACCCTCCCCCTTTATGTTTGCTCACCGCGATGATTGAAGGAAAGGGTGACACTCAAAGGATAAGAGCAGTAACGAACACGGAACTCTCTGCAACAAGCGGCGTGCTAGTCCCAATCTGAGAACAGAGCATGGATTTTGCCGCGCCTGCAAGAAATCCCCACTCCTTTTTCACCGTCGTCTGATCCAAATCTCGCTCAATATCGCTTCGGCCTCGAATACGCATCTCTATGTCTCTCTCTCTCTCGATCGAGCAGAAGAGAGAAAATAATGGGAATATCTGAATTACTGTACAAATTTTTTTTCTTTCATTGTAATCGGCAATCTCGAGAACGATACGAAAAGATCTAACGGTTGAAAATTTATGTCAATGAATTAAATTAAATTTTGGAGAAATATTGTTTTTGTTTTTTTTTCTGTTATTTTTGGACACGTGGCGTGCTGGGAGGAAGAAGTTAGGTGGGTCCGTTAGTGAGAGGGTGTCGCTAACATGCTTACACGCCAAACAATCATGACTGCGTGACAACAAGTAAGGATTTTTTTTTTAACTTTAATTCTTAGGAAAAATCTCATACATAACACACAATTCTGGTCTATTTATCTATCTCACCTCTAAACTTCTGTTCCTAGACACATAGCACTTGCTAATGGATGAAACTATGGATTTAACAATTAAAATGTGTGATAATCAATAAAATTTTTCATATGATATTTGTAATTATGAAATTTTAGGTGTAGATAGATAAAAATAAAAATTTTCAGTCATATATATATGTGTAAAAACCCATTAGTTATAATAAATTATATAATTTAAATTATATTATTTCATTTAATACGTTATAATGGGTCATGATCTTCCTTATATTTTTTTTTCTTTAGCGTTTTCTTTTTGTCATACTTTATTTTTTAATAATATTCTAACATTATTATTATTTTTATTGTACATCATTCATATAAAATTACATTATTAATATTTCTTGACAAATGTATTCCACCACAAGTATATTGTTGTGAAATTATGACATTCGAGTAAGGTATTCTTCTTTCCAAATTATTATATGAAGGAGCACTTCAACACATACATATCGCCCAATTTCTATGTATTTTTTTATTTTTTTTACACTTATATCACTCATATCTTTCACATCACATAAAAAATATCATCATTTTAATTTTTAAGAGAGAATATATATATATATATACATACATACATACATACATACATTCATATGTAAGATAGTATGAATGTAAAAAATCAAAGGTTTAGAAGCTCATGAGAATATCTATTAATTAATATTGATTTATATTATCTCCAACAATAAGAATCAAAGGGGGTGTTTGATAGCCTATTAATAGGTGGATTTAAAAACAAATTTAGCTTAAATCAAACCAAACACCAAAAAACAAAATGTTAAACCCAACAGCAAGTTAAACTGAATTTTTACCCTTGGTTTTCCTCGCGTTCCGTCTTCTTAGTCACGTAAATCAGCGGATTTACCATCAATAACTCCGTTCCCTCCATCAAAATAGATTTGAAAAATCCAAATTTGCTAAATCAAATTTAATGTAAATCCCTAATGGGTAACCTCAAGCATTAAAGGTTAAGAAGATTTACATACATATCACTCAATTCTTATGTATTTACTTACCGAACACATATATCTCAATTTTTACATATATGCCACTTATGCATGCAGGGGTGCATTTTAGTTTTAGAAAATTAAAACAGTGATATTATTTATGTGATATAAAAAAATTGATTTGAGTGATAGAAATGCAAAAAAAATAAAATTCCAATGTTAGATGTGTCAATGCATAAGAATTGAGTGGTACATCTGCTGTAAATTTGGCATGTATGTGGGGGGTAAAATAATGAATAATACATTTGTGGGTTGGTTCAAAAATCATATAAGTATTGCTTTCTATAGATAAAGATTTCAGCATTCAAAATAAATTTGAGTTTCACGCGCAAGGGAGCTAAACAATAACGAGGGCATTTACATACATGCCACCCAATTCTTATGTATTTACATCCCTAACATTTAAAGTTTATTTTTCACAACTATGCCACCCAAATCATTCATATCATATCAAAAATATCATTATTTAAATTTTATTTTAAAAAAAATACATTTTTCATGCAAAAGTACCATGACATCTATTTAAAAATTAATAAGCATAATATAAACCTATTTATATTTTTATATCTGCATTACTATTTTTTAAATATTCATAATACCTATACAATTATACAAACTGGATACAGGAGCTAAATAATCAAGGCTTAGCTCCAAATTAACTTGTTTAAATAATTAAAATAAATAAATATAGTAATAGATTCCATTTTGCATTCCATCATTCTAATGCTAACTTACATATAAATATATATAATATATATAATTTATTTATTTTGAGCTAAAACTAACCAAACGCAATTGAACCGGAGGTTGTTTGTGTTCGGCTCATTTATAATTTGAACTTAAAAAACATGTTAGGATTTAGCTCACTTAATTAATGAATGACTCGAACATGAGTTACTTAAGGAGACAAAAAAGCTATTCGAGAACAAGTTTTTTTTATAGCCCGCGTGAAATAGGCCCTAAAAATATAAAATGACAGGAACAAAATAAACCAAAACTGTTCTTAAATAAAATAAAATTAAAAAAAAAATAAAAAGCTTAATTTAGGAGATAACAGAATGTAGAGTAAGAGTTTATTACATGACGGACATGGACATAATCTGGCGAGCAAGGGCTGGATCTTGTTCAAGTAACTCCCTTATGTTGTTTTCCACCTCTGTAATCTGTTTCTCCAGATATTCTTTTGATGTCTATATTAAAATAATAATAATAATAATCAAAATAATATTTCTAAAAGTTCATACATACCACACAATTATTATGTATTTAGATCTCTAACACTTCAAAAATTATATACCACACAAATCTTTAACACCGCGCCGAAAAAACCACAATCAGTGTCTTTTTTTTAAAATAAAACACACCTCCTCATGTATAGATTTATAATGCCAAGATATTTATAAGTGTAAATATCAAACTTAGGGATGTTATATATGTAAATACATAAATACTGTGTGGTATGCATGTAAATTTCCTTAAAAATAATTATCCAAGTGATTAGCAGCCTAAGATATTTTTTCCGTAGAACCAAAATTAATGAGAAAAATTGGTTCAGAATATAAATGATAAAAAAGTTAATCATAATAGACTTTAAAACTTTTTTTTTTTTTTAAATTTGGAATATTAAATAACTATGGGTGCACAATGTAAATCATTAGCAATACGTTTAGATTGATTCAAAATTGCAATAATGCACATGAATTAAATGGTGCATAATGTAAATCATTAGCAATACGTTTAGCTTGATTCAAAATTGCAATAATGCACATGAATTAAATGTTGCAAAATAATAGATTTTGCTAGCCGTAATTTTATTATGTATCATTTGCAGTACCCATCCTAAATTTTTCATGGATATAAATGCAATTTAACAGAGATAAATCTATAAAATACCTGCAAGGATGTTATAGCAGCTTCACTATCTTCAAGCCTCTGCTTCTGCTCCACCACCATAACTGAGTTGGGCTCCAGAACAAATCTGGTTATCATCAAAAGAAATACTCTGAATATAGCTGCATTAATCTATCAAAGAATACCAGTAAATTAAACAAGTTTGTTTTTTGATATGGGAACTCTCGTTGATTACTCACAGTCTGCCTGCAAAAGTAACAAAGCTTCAATCAGGAAACAAAGTTTGCACGAACAAGAATATGACATTAAAAATATCTGTATTTTATTGAGAAAAATGTCAAAATGGTCCCCGACTCTTAGCAAAGCAACATTTTAATCCAGAGTTTATAAAATCGACAATTTAGTCCTCAGACATTATAAATATGGGTTGAAGTAATCTATTTTAGTCCGCATTCAATAGTCAAGGGACTATTTTGGCATTTTAAACATTTTTTTATATCTAGCATAAAAAAGAAAAGAAAGTGCAAGGAAACAAAGATTGTGCTAAATGACTCCTCATAACACCATCTTTACAAAAAATTAAGAAGTATTCATGGCTCATTATAATAAAGTAGTTCCACGAGCACATTAGACCACCTCTCTATCACGTAGATCATATATTTTTAGTCACTGCTGATAGCCTAGAGGTGCTGATCTCCGCCTTCCTGTTGCACATACTCTTTCCTAGAGCTTCAAGGAAAGAAAATGAAATGAAAGACTTGCATACATACCACTCTATTCCTATCTATTTACATATCTAGAACCTGCTTCTTCACCTAATATTATTTTTTTTTCTTTTCAATATCATCTCATGTTATGTTGTCATCATATAAAAAGTAACTTACCTTCAACATATGAAATATTAACATTTATCGCCCAAATCAAGGAAAAGCAATGCCTCACCGCTTGGCACCTAAATGTAAGGTGTTCTTCTAAAATTGAATTGGTGAAAGTGTTTGCCTACCTAAAGAACTGAATTGGTGAAAGTGTTTGCCTACCTAGGAAGTCTGCGACGAGTGCTCAACTTGCCTTAAAAAATATTGGGTTCACAAACATGCATGTGTTTTTAAGGGCAATGTAGCCCAAACAAAATATGATAGTGAAATCAGTGTTTTCAAAGTGCAGTGCGAAGCACAGCTTTGGTAATTTGAATATGAAAACTAATGCTAATATACATGGAAGCATTTCTATAAATCAAAAAACTAAGAACCTTTGAAGATGGAATATTATCAACTCATTTTCTTTGAGTTAAATAATTGCTAAATTAGAAAATGTTTTCAGACTGAAACTCATGTTTTTGCCTATTACTAGCTCATAAATCGTACAAATTCAAATTTGGGCCTTGGCTAAAAAGACAATCATGAACCCTCAAGTAGACAAATCAAAGAAAGAAATTATAGTAAATAAATCAAACTAAAACCAACCGAAACAACCTGAACAAATTCTAATCAAACAGCTATCACAATGTTCATCATCTTATAGTAACATTTAAATGAATTCAAAATAATTCTAAAAGCCCAAAACTTCCTCAATTTGTCTTTTTCTTCACATTCTCACCATCTTTCAAAATTTTCATTGAAGTATTAATAAAACTTTATATCTACCATGAATCCCTTGCTCATTTATGGTCCTATGGTTGCATCTTCGCCTTACAAAGTAGGAATAATTCCAAGGTAACTGGAGGTAAACCTCATCACGATAAACAAAAGAGCATTTACATACATACCACACAATTCTTACCTATTTACATGTCTGACATTTATACTTTAATATTTACATCCATAACACTCAAATCTTTAACATCACATAAAAACACCACTTTCCTAACTTTTTAAAAGTCAAATGCACATTTTTATGCGTTGGTTTATAGCATCAAGTTGTTATAAATGTAAATATTAAACTTTAGGTGTTATATATGTAAATCCATAGGAATTGTGTGGTACGTATGTAAATTTCCCTAAAGAAAACGGACAGCTCCAACTGCAAGTTAAATTTTATAAACTTGAATAATTTCGAAAAGCATGCTTGATTCAATTTAGAAATTTTTTGGGTACCTATAGACTTGTATGTGTTTGTATCATCTGGTAACTGTTGCAGTTCATCTAATGTAAGGTAAGCACGCTTCTTTTCTCCCTCTTTACCACGCCACTGATTCTGCACCTAGAATACAACAGGAAAATAGTATTCACCAAATGCAGAAATTTGAGATCATGAAAAAGAACTTCTACAAGATGGCTGAATTCTAGGCTCAAGTAGAAATTAAAAAAAGCTTTTCCATCAAACAAGGCATGATTTGCCTTATTTTATTTTTGGAAGATATACATACAAACCACTTGATTCTTATATATTTACATATCTAACGCCTTAACTTTAATTTTTAAAATGGTACTATATCTTATGTCATATGAAATATTTGGGTGGTATAGATGTAAAAGGCAAGGTATAGATATGTATGCGAATGCCCCTTTATTATTTAACTATTTGTGGAATTTGTTTGTTTCTTTATAATCTGTCAAGCTGAAAAATAGGTCGAAGTTTTCTCTGTAAATTTCAATTAACTTAACATATGGTACCATGCAGAATAGAATAGAATAAAGAGATAATTACATACAAACCACCTGAAATATTGATATTTACAAATTAACCACCCAAATAATTTGTTGGAACTACCGAACCGATGTATTTATGCGCGCTACAATCAAACTACTAACAATTTGATAAAAATAAAAAAAAATGGGTTGGGGTTTTACCATGAATTTTAATATTTGAGTGAGAATTTGAAAAATGGATGAAAGAGGGTGGTTGATTTGTAAATAGCAAGTTTCGGGCCGGGGGATCTGCAGGTAATTGCCCCTCGAATAAACAAAGAGCGGGCTTTAAAAGAATAATTTAACTTCCATTTCAGTTTTTGAAACTAAAGTTGGTTTAGCATAGGTAATATCAGTGGTCACTCCTGCTGTTTAAAACTTCGGTCTTACTGCCTCCTTTTATTTACAATTACAGATAATTTCTGAAAATAATGAAAAAACAACAAACACAAAGGTATAAAGCTATATAAATACCAAATAACTTGAATATATCAAATCTTTCATATATTACCAATTAAAATGTTTACATAAATCACCATAACGGTTAGCCTTATCACAATTACTTGAGGCCAATTTTATGAATCCACAATTTCCATTTGTTCCCACCAAATGATGCTTGAAGTATTTGCCTATTCTTTGCAAATTATTTTAGAAGAACTTCTGTCATAACATCAGTCCCCTCCCCCTTCCCAATCTTCTTAGACTAAATTTTATCTACACACTAATAAGTGCATATTTTATAATTCATTATACATGTCTAGATCACCAAAATCCATTTCAACTACATATTATTTCATATTTGTCATTCTAACTATCACTCTACAATAATCCTTCATTGGCTTATTCTTTTAACCACACATCTATCTTAACATTCTCACTTTGGTTATGCCTAACAATCAGCGAATTTTTAAGTATCGAACAACTGGATCCATACAACATTTATTAAATCTCCATGATACCCTCTAAATCTAAATAATATCCAACTTAACTACAAGTATAATCCCCATGTGGATGCATGCAAAATATACTTAATATGAAGTAGGCTCTAGAAAGATAACCAACATAAGTCGAGAGGATTAATGGTGAGTTAAAAAAAATAGAGTTAAGAACGTGGCAAGAAAATTATATGTGATTTCACAGTAGCCTAAGAATTGAAATAGCGTACACAAAATAAAAAGAGTACCAAGTTCATTTTTTCAAAAGAGAAGCAACACAAAAAATTTCCTTCTAAAGATTGTAAGGTGACTCTTAGAATATTGTTGGCCACACAACATACAACAACAACAACAATCCTTTATCCCACTAAGTGGGGTCGGGTACATGAATCATTTTTCTCTATTGTATCCAATTGAGTGTTATATTTTCATTTAATTCTAATAGATTAAGATCATTTTTTATGCAATATGCAGGCCAAACAATATAGAAATTAAAATTTTAATTTTCGGGAAAAAAATATATTTAAATAACAAATAAATAAAAAACAAACTTAAAGCATATATATGTTCAAAATTGGGCATAGATATAATTAAATTGACAATAGAAAATCATTCTTTGTTATTGCACAACTGTTTAAAATTGTAAAATAGGACACACACCCAGAGCCATTCTAGGAATAAGTGCAATGAGACTTATGACTCATTGTTCTCAATTAGTGCTCACCTCAAGGTATGCTGACCTCTATTTTTTTTTTCCTTTTTACATACTCCTCTGTTTACTTTAAATACACCAATCCCACCACCCTTAGCAAACTCTAATCCTCGCTAGTGCACACGAGAATGCAAGACATAGCTCTCTATGGAGGACATTGTTGTAAGTTTTCCCACTAGCCTCCTTAGCCATAGTCACCTTTTGACCAAGCTCTACACTATAAAGAAATCTTCCTCCACCAAAATATTTAGTTCTTTCAATGAGAAATTCTGAAGTGTAATTTTTTCTTTCCTAAATGCCTTAATCTATTTTCTTTTATTTGTATTCTGGTTTTTTGTTATTTGAACATTGCTTGCTCAAATTTTCTTTGAATTGCATTTTATTATTTTATTATAAATGGTTAGAGAAATAAAGAAACTCCCACCAATTGAAAAGACCCAGCATGGTGGCATAGCATATAAGTTGACATTGGAGAGAATGGTAAAATTTATGTTTATCAGAAATGCAATCACTACAGGGAGATGGCTACACAAACGAAAAAGCACCATTTAAGCTTTATCAAGAATGTGACCGTGTGCAATGATAACCAAGATGATTAATAAAGAGATTCATGCGGTTATAAAGAAGACAAGCACATATCAAAGCATTTAACACAACAATACTTTGATGTAGGGTCAATGTTAATTCTTATAAGGGAAGCAATCATAAGAGTAACGATTCATCATCTACTTAGCCATAGATGTCATGTAGATTCACCAAAAGATTTATGGAACAATAATGATAAATATAGAGGACGAGACAAGGTATGTCTTAAGAGTAGTACAATGGCATGCGGATGTGTTTGTATGGTTACTGAAAGGTTATTCTAAAAAAAGTCATTCCATTTAACAAGGCAAACTACATTTCATATTTCAACATGATCCATGAGATAGATTCCTATGGTCGAAGCTTGAGATTATTATCTATGTATAATTTGAGAACTTGGGTATTAAAAAAGAACTTAATAAAATATTAAACGAGCATTGAAGAGATTAAGAGAAAGTGGAATCAAACTGGGGTAATGATCATGTCTGACAATTGATCTAATATTAAAAAAAAGTTTGATCAACACTTTGATTAAAAATGCCTATGGCATTATTTTTTAAATCTATTAAATAATCGGATATGGTGAAAGGTGTGATGGACATTTTTGGACTTCAAGATGGAGTTAAGAAGAAATTGGAGAGCATCAGATTGTTTTAGCTGTTACTGATAATGCGAGTGCTTATAGGGTGCCAGAAAAAAAAAAACTATTGAAGAAGAAATAGCGTATGTACCTAGGGACAGAGCTACAGAGCATTGGGGGCTTGTACCCCTAGAAGCCCAGTCAGCCAAAATAAAACCATTCATTCTTCCTTTTTTAATAAAATCGAAGATTAGTCCTACCTCTTCCCAAAACTCTCGACTCTAGCTTTGCATTGGCATGTTTTGTCTGAGAAGATAAGTGCAAGGCGTGGACCTTTGAAGATCAAACCATTAAAATTGATGAAAGATTTGAACCAAGGAGCATGGTTGAGGACCCCTCATGTAAGTGCACGATGGCAGTTTGAAAAATAAAGCAACTCCACTACTATGCTAATTCCTGGGAAGTCATATCAATGTCTACATAAGAAGGCAAAATAATGTGGGTTTCCTCACACTTCTTATCTTGAAGAGGGGGCAATTAAGGGTCTGTTTGGGGCGGATTATTTATGCGTTCAGCGGTTTGAAAACGCCGGACACCAGTTTGTTTCACAAGTTGGCTTGGCTATCCGCCAACGCGCGACAGGATTTATTAAAGGACCGCGATCGCTGGATCGACCCCGCTGCCCGCATTCCTTTACAATGGTTTACACAACTGCCCTTTCGATCTTTTCCTGCGTAGCTCTGCAATTGATCTCAGGGAGACCCGCGCCATCTCTCTGATTCCTCCTCTCCATTCATATTTTCTCCCCCCAACCGAGCCTCCCATTCGCATCTCTCATTAGACACTCTCCTACTCGAACCTCCAGCCGCTCCTTTTCTCTCCGAGTCGAAGACCCAACTATTCCCCCTCCCCAACGGTTTTGATTTCGCAAATCAGTCCAAAAACCACTTCCTCTCCTTCATTCTCTGGTTTGTAAGTAGTCCAACTGCGAGGAAGCCTTTTCCTCGCCTCTTTAACTCTCGAGTGCATCCGCAGCCCTCCATGCTTCCTCTTTTCTCAAGCCGAAGGCCTTCGTCTTCTTGTCATCCTCTCCAAATCGCACGGGTAAAATATAACTCGCCTTTTTTGTTCATTATGAAATTTTGTATTTTTGGATTTTTTTATGCTTGATTTGTTAGTGATTATGGAGAATAGTGAAAGAAAAGATAAGTTCTTTTATCTCTTAAGAAATTTTTGAACTTACATTATGAATTATTTTCTGAATTATTTGAAGATGAAATTATTTGAAGATGAATGCTCCATTCCATTTCTTTTGGAGTCTAGGTGTAATTCAAGTATTTCTGTTGGGCAGAATGATTATTTATCCAATAACAACTGCATATAAGTTGTTCTGAATAAGCTCTTTTAAACAAAAAACCAGCTTATCCTGATAATCAGAAGATTATCAGATTGTCAGGATAATCTGCTTATCAGCAGATTATAAATAATTTGCAGCTGCCCCAAACAGATCCTAAGTGAATCTTTTGTGGCATTTAAAAAAAAAATTTTGGATTCATAACACATTATCATTGTAATTGTATCAGTACTTCTTATTCAAATTTTGGAACATAAATATCTATGCTATCTATTTATGCAAAAAGAAAAATAAATAACCAAACAGAAATAAAAACCTCATTTTCTAGTACGTTACAATGACATATTTTTTTATGCTCCTTTTCTAATGCCTTATATTGATAGACACTAGACATCAAAAGCGTATAGAAACCATCATTTATTTATTATAAAAGCTCAAAAGTTTTACATATTGCTTCCCACAATATTTGATTAAGTTATATAGAGGAATATTTTGTGGCCTTGATTGTCATCTTATTGAACACATTTTTTTTTGTATGATTAAATAAAATTAAATTATGGAGGCTTAAAAATATTTGTTGGGCATAATTGAACCAGCACGCGTTAGGATCTGTCATAAATGGGGGTATTTAATATTAAAGATTTTTTTTTTCTTTTATTGCAATCAATGATGATTCATATCAAGCTCACTTCCACCTATCACCACTGCAAGCCTTCCCCATCTTTTCAACATAACCTAGCACCTAAAAGTAGGCATATCTTTCACACCAATCTGTAATCTTCGAAAAGAAATGATTCTCTAATTACATATATAGAGAATAACGTATTTATTATTGCTAATAATGAATGATTATACAACAGTTTCAAAATATGAAGAATCAAATGAAAAACTTATATATAGCAGTTTTTTTAAAACAAATTATTAGCATACCATACGATACAAGTACAGCAATATTCCAACAAAAAGATACAGATAGACTCAATAAAATGTAAAAAAAATTAAAACATACAGAAAACAAGTACCTAGGGACGAGTCAGTTTAGTCTTGTCTCTTCCTCTCAATATTCCAACAAAAAGATACAGATAGACTCAATAAAATGTAAAAAAAATTAAAACATACAGAAAACAAGTACCTAGGGACGAGTCAGTTTAGTCTTGTCTCTTCCTCTAGTTTTAAGAGCGGAACCAGATAACAAACTTTGAAGAGTTGTGTCATTGTCAGGAGTCACAAAAGTATCATCCATTAAGTGTCTGTTTAGCGCAGTTGTTGATTATTCATAATCTGTTGATAAACAGATTATTCTGATAATCTGCAGATTATCAGAATAATCTGGCTTGTTGTTTGGGGGCAGCTTATTCAAATTAGTTTATTGGTAGTTAAATGTCATTTATGCCCTGTCTGATAAAACTGTTTGGGGCAGCTTATTCAGAATAACTTATTGATGCAGAAGCATACAATCATCACAGATCAGTTCCAAAAAATGTCTTACAGCTCTCACACTCTCGTGAGTACCAGAAGAAATAAAAAAAAATGACAAAGACAAGTACAACTACAATGAGAAATATTAAAATATTTAATTTCAAACTCTGGCTATGTCTGTCCTCATCTACACTATCAACCTGAGAAAACATCGGATTCTCATGACTGCTGGCAGTGTAATATGTGGGTTTGTCAACCCACAGGAAGAAACCGCGACGAGCGAAAACACCCTTGGCACAACCGTAGAACTGTCTTCCAAAGCAATGAGACTGACGTGACGTGAGCAACGGAGACGGTAGTCCACAATAACACAAAATACATCTGTCTGTAACTGATATCCTAGAAGACATGTTTGTATAACTGCGAAAAGAACCAAAAAAATGAATGTCAGAACTTATCCCAAAAAAATAAAATACACATAAAAATTGATCTACATATATACGAAAAAAAAGAAAGACTTGCTGAATTAGCTTGTCATATATAGCATCTGCTATAGACTCCCTCAGAGCAGCCATCTCGGCTGCACCCTCCCCATCTTGAGGTTCATAGGCCGTAGACAGACTCGATCTCATTATCAGCTAGAAATCCTGAAGGTTCTAGGAAGTTAATAATTGGATCATCATCAGTAATATTGAAGTCTGTATCTGAATGAAAGAGATGTCGTCGGATAAAGTTGTGAAATGTCATAGTGGCCACCACAATATGCACCTGTTTGGGAAATGAATACGAGGGCATATCACGTAGGATTACTCATTACTTCTTCCACACTCCAAATATTTTTTCAATAACCCCCCGTAAAGAGGAGTGTCATTTGTTAAAAATTTCTTTTTTGCCATGAATCGTGTCACTTGCTCGCTCAAAATCAGGAATATGGCATCTGGTGTCTGGATAAGGCTTCAGGTAGCCCCTTAGCATCGGATATCCAGCATCTACCGAATAATACTTTCCTGTTATGAAAGAGAATATTAATTACAAATAATTAATGTAATTAACAAAATATTTAATTAAGATGAACAAATCTTGAGGGGGTGAGGAAACACTGTGTTCTATTCTTAGTTGCATAGGAAAAAAGACAACTGTCATGTGCACTTCCTTCCCACCCCGTCATTACAAATGTGAAACACATGTTGAAGTCACACACTGCCATCACCACATTTTGTGGGTAGTTTTACCACTCCGACCAATGTACACAATCTTTTCATGACTTGGTAGTTGCGCATCCACATGCGTACCATCGATTGCTCCAAAACAGTTCTGTAACTCATAGTTAGCAATTCCACAGATATTGAAATAAAAGTAACAAACTAATCAAACTTACTTTGAAATACGGCATGTAACGTGGATCATTTGCAATTTGTTCAGGAATAATTGCGAACGATGGATCAGATGGCTTAATGTTTTGCGTTGCTAAGCTCACAAGTGCTTGTATACATTTGTAAAAGTAACGACTAATTGTTTCCAATGAATGTTGAAATGGCTCCATAGCTCTTCTAACTGATTCATTCTGTGATATAATATATAATGTTATGGCTAAGACCTCTCTCGTGGTCGTTCTAGAATAACCTTGGAGGTCGTGGTTACAATATAAGTCATGTAAAAGATCCATAAAAATAAGTGCACTCATTCGAAAAATGCTACTAAACTTTATTGGATGTCCAACAAGCATCTCGCCCACCCATTTGTCCCCAACATATGAGGATGTCATGCGTGGTATCCGTCTAGTGTTGGAGCGGTAATATTCCAACAATAATATCGTTATTACTGCAGTCCATGTCATTCTTTTACGACGTTCTCGTAGTGGATCCATCCTGAAATTATAAATTCATTATGATGAAATAATTTAGCAGAAAATGACATAAATGAAATATATCTAGTGAAGAAAGCATCTGGAAAATGACATAAAGAAATACATAACATCAATAAATGAAGTACATAAAATGAAATTTCAAGCATCAAGAAATGAAGTACATCAAATGAAATACAAAGCATCAGGAAATGACGTACATAAAATGAAATATATCTACTGACATATTAATACAAAATTTTTACAAAACAGTCTTATTTTTCTACTAAAACACGTAAATATTCAAGATGCAGCTCGGGCTGTAGGGCCATGAACATTTGCTTACGAGTAGGGTCCTCAAGTTTTTTAACACATTTTGTCTGAAAGTGTATATCAGCAGCTACTTCTAGAATAATGTCTAAAATGACAACGTAGTTCCAGATAGTGCTGTCAGGGGGAGATGGAGCTGAAAAACCAGCAATTAGTTCATGAAATGAATTTTTCAAGAAACTATCATTCTCTTTCGTCCTCCTGCCAAGCCTAGGCCTCTTGAACATGGAACTTGACTCTTCAAACATGGGACTTGACTCTTCAATCTCCTTTTGGTTAATACTAGGCCCTTCTTCATTAGCTATGACCTGTTCAGGTGGCAAGTCATATAGTATTCCTGAAAATCCCATTTCACTTGGGTTGAATGAATTCTTTCCAGTCGCGACACCTCTTAAACATTATGTCCAGTTTTTCCTCGAACTCTGACTCAATTCCGCACTGCCTATATTTTTTGGCAGTTGGCATTACCTGAAATATAAGACATTTATTAGAAGAGTTTAGACATTAACTAAAAAATAATGAAATTAAGAAAAGACATTTGGAAAATGAAATTAAGAAAAGACATTTGTATTTAGTACCTCCAATCTTTCAGCCCGCCATTCATCTGAAGCATCGATAGTTTGTTTAACAGGATCCCAACCTAATCCGGTAGAGTCAATTCTTTGAACCTCTTAGCAATATTTTGTCAACCCTCCTTATTAAAATACGTAGTTGGTCTGTTCCCCAATTCAATTTCTTTAATACATAGATCGTAAAATATATTTGTAACTTCTTTATCCCACATTGCGGAGGGACCCCCTTCAGACGTCTTAGACATTGAACTCTAGGGAACAAAGAAAAATAAGTATTTGCTAAATGTGTAAAAAAATAGCCCAACTTCATCCATATCAATTCCACAAAATGCACCAAAAAATGAACCAACATCCACAGAATTAACCCACAATAGTGTCTAGATTTGCTAAAAAAAATAACAAAAAAATAACACAAAGGAATTATGTGGTTCGGTCAAAAACCTACATCCACAGTAAGACATCAAACATGTTTTGTTATCCAATTATGTAAGAGTATATAGCTATGATTCTCAATGGAGAACACTACAACTAAAGTACATATGTAATATGCACCTTCATGTAATATGCAACTTCTCATACATGTCGTGGAATCCAATTCCACCGAAGCTACCATAATGTGTTATAAACTGTAGCTCTAAAAACATGCACAACTCGTAGCTCTAAAAAATATACAGTATATATCCTCTCTACCCTCAGCATCAAGGGAAGCTTGAAGACCCCGTAAAAATATACAATCTGATGCTCTAAACAATCATAACAAATTTTCATCGAGGCACAACTCATGAAACAGTGAATAGACAGAAAGAGTTGTATTTTTCGGCATTGCAAATGAACTTGCATTGCATTGCATCTCAAGCTTGAAAACCCCGTAAGTGGCATAAACAGTGATAGTATTCCCATCATTTGCTAAACAGTGAATATTATTTGCATTGCAATTATTGTTTCTTCTTCCCAACCAATTTAATGAAACAAAAACTGTATCAACATTTAATATCTAATGCCACAAACATTTTAATGAATCAAAATATCTAATAAACGGTGAAACAAAAATCGTGATTAGTCAATATTGTTTGTCATGAGAGAAACATATAAGAATGGAAGTTTGTCAATAACGAGTGATAGAAGAAGCAGGGTAAGTAATTGCATCTCCATTCAGTCATCCCAAAGCACACTTTTTCAGTTATTGTGGCCTATGAAGCTACACATCTCACAAATTTAATTGAAATTCTAAAGGCTAATGTTGTTGCTTCACTTGAGAGTCCGTCTATATATTGAGAGATTGACCAACTGAAAAAGAAAAACCACTTTACTGTGACCCAAGCCATGGGAGTCTAAACACACATACTCCATAAAAATTGCATTTTCCCCAAATTCCATTAATTCAGCATATGCAATGCCGGAAAAAATTTCACGAGAAATAAAAACTCATAATTTTGTTCAAAACTCTACTGTGAAAAACTCATGCCCATACTCTACTGTGAAAAACTCATGCAATGCCCCAAATTCCACAATTTTGTTCGAAACACCCAGCCAAAATTCGTTCAATAAGAACCATTTTAACGAGAGCACCCAGCCAAAACTCATGCAATTCCTCAAATTCCATAATTTTGTTTGAAACACCCAGCCGATACTTTCATCCAAATTTCAAATCTAGCAAAAAATGAAAGAAAAACTGCGTCGCACATGAACAGAGAAGGCTCGAAAGAAAAAGTGAAACAAAACTGTCCAAAATTTCACAAAAACCGCATCCACATTTCAGATCTAGAGGCTTGAAAAGCTTTGAAACAAATCAGGGGTCGAAGACCCAAAACTGTCTCGAAAGTTCAGATCTAGCAAAACCACCCATCCAAAATTTCATAAAAAACCTCCGAAAACAGCAATGGTGCATCCAAACAAGATGCAACGAGCACAAATCAGGGGTCAAACAACATATAGCAAAATCAGAGAAGGATCGAAAACGGTGGTGTATACTAGATGGGAAAGTAGGGTTTCGACGACGGGAGGGAGAACAGCCAGTGGATTTCTTGCCAAATTTCTCAATGGCCGCGAGGAAGAAGGTGATGGCGAGGGGGACTGGAGAGGGGCACGGGGCATCTTTTTCACCCTAAACGCACGAACTGAACGTAGGACGCGAAGGGAGATGGGATTATTTTCATAGCGCCTTTTCGTTAATACCGCGTATCAGCGATGGTAATACGCTCGCGCGAACGCGACATCCAAACGCTTGTGCGGCGTTTTCAAAACGTCGCCGCTCCCATTAAGATACCCCAAATAGACCCTAAGTTTCGAAGTTGGAGTAAGCCCTCAACCTTTCTCTTCCGCCGAGAAGTGTAAACCTGTCATTCTTCATCTGAAGACTGACTCGAGTGATCCTCGATCTGATTTGATATTAGCGTCGCAGTAGGATGAAAGACAGTCGTTGGCACCGCGTAGGTTCCAGTGTATGTAAAGTGTGAATTGTTACTTCTGCACCTGATGTTTTTTGAATAGGTGTGGGACTATCATGATTTTCAGTTCGAACATTATATGTTGTAGTATGGTCAGAAGAAGAGATCTCAAGGGCAGACACCAACTCCTGTCTTATGGAGATTCCCTTCTTAGGTTGGTTGTCATCAGGTTTACTAGGAGCGTGTTCAGGCACATGAGATGCACTAATAGTGTGTTTCTACTTTTGATTATTGGTTCTCAACTGTGGGTGCAATCTGAAACATTTCTCCTGGGGTGTCCAAACATCTTGCAGTGCTTGCAGTAGTATGATTTTTGTTCCATAATAATTTTTTGCCAATAATCATTGTGAGCAGATCCAAACCAGATTTCTTCTACATCTGGTAGTGTAATATCTCGTTCAATCAAAATCCTTACAATAGAGGGTCTTAAGAAATGAACTGTAGGTAAGTCTACCTCTAAAGGTTTTTCAAAGATAGTCCCAATTGCATATAAGATAGGTAGGTCAAAGAAATGAAGCTTGAATTCAGGTAATGAGAACCATATAGATGCAATTGGGGGTTCTTAACTAGGATCAAAATTGGGAGTTCATTTGAGCAATTTCATATGTTTACCCTGAATTGTGATGAATTTTTTTGAGAAAACCCTCATGTAATCATCTTTTGTGTTCAGTTGTATCATAACATGTCTTTCGTCGAAATGACCCACCTGACAATCCCCAACCAGTTTGAAATCTTCAAAAATCTTCCTGATGATTTTCATCTTAGGACAACCTAATTGGAACTTTCTAACTAGTGTAAATTTGTATTTTCCTGCATGAGTTGAAATTTCAACGTTAGAAAAGAAAATTGTTGTTTTGCCCGCCTTTTTCTCTACTTTTTTGATAAGGTTGCAATCGTCATTTCCTGCAACAGAATCATCATAAATCTGCAGGAATACCGCACTATCTGCGAGGTGAAAATGAGAGTTGCGTTTGTGAACCATTGTAGCATGGGAGGGTTTGGTGGGGTTATCACCGGTGAGGGCGGCGACGTAGGAAAGCCCTGAGGCCATTATATTATTACAGCAGCCAATACCAACCTGCAACACAGTGAGAAACTGCACGAGTGTCGAACGGCTCTGCGCAGAGGAGACACAGCAGGGTGTCGAACGTTCGAGCATACCGGGAGGCTCTGTCGCAGAGGACGCAGCAGGGTGTCGAGCGGTCGAGCGGCTCTGTGGCAGACGAGACGCAACAAGGTCGAATAGCTCTGTCAGCAGACGAGACAGGCTCGAGCGGCTCTGTCACAGACGCGGGCGAGACAGCACCTTCCAGACGAGACACGAAAGCAAACGCGAGATGACGCGAATGGAAGCAGACGACGCAATCCGAAGCGATGCAAGTAAATCCCGAAGCCAAAAGACGTTAGGGTTCGCCATGGGGGGGAACCCTAGCAGAGTGCAGGCTCATGAAGACAGGGAGATTAGCATATATATATATATAGGTTCTACTAGAGGCAGCTGCAGCTATTTGAAGAAGCAGTCGTGAATCTGTCGAAGAAGCTATTGTTCAAAAATATACAATGGTTATTACAATTTTTTTTTTTTAAGTCAGACTGCAGCTTTCTGTCAGCCACAACAGGTAGTCAGGTCTGGTGGGAAAAACTGTGGTGCGGCACCAAAACCAATACCGCACCGCCACCTCAAACATGCCATTATGTTACAGTATATAAAAACTAAATTAAATCATCAATGCCAGTCCCAAATTCATATGAATAAGTTTGGGGGTATTTTCAAATTTATTAACTTATGAACCCATTAAAAAAAAATTTATCTTCGCCTCTATATGTACTAGACAACGTGTGCAGCACAATATATAAACTTGATTTTATAAAAAATTGGACTTACTTCGGCAACAAGGATACCTTGAACAAAACAAAGAAGTTTGCAAAATTTATCAATGATCATTGATTGGTTTTGACATTAGTGAGAAAACTTTCAAAGAAAAACTCCTAGAATTTGCTACAAATAAGTTTGCGGCAGACTGCTTCGCCATACAAAGCAGGTTGAACAAGGGCTTAAGCATGATAATCTTTGAAATACATGTTCATCTCCGCACAAGGGCTTAATTGTGTATGGACAGAGAAAGTCAAAGAGAAAGAAGTAACAAAGAATATCTCAAAGAAGTAACAAAGAATATCTCAAACGAGATATTCAATCAAGCGGTACAGGTGCAATAACATTTACAAAGCCACTAATTTATGGAGTTAAAGCCCACATTTTGGAAGAATATGATTCCAACAATAAGAATATAAGAGAAATCAGTGATGGAAATTGGAAGCTTCAGTTTTTCATCATTTACATGCAGCAAGATATTATCTTAATCTCCGATTTCAATATGTTAGAGCAAGTCAACTAATTCTATGATTAAACCAGGCTTATAACGTTGTATGGATAGGTTGATAGCTGACTGAACCGAGAAAGGAAAGGATGACATTCAACTTGTTCCCATAAAGAAAAGGGACTTTTTAGAAAACAACAAAGCCAAAGATAAAGTTGAAAAATATTTCCCAAATACTTTCTGATTTTATTGATTAAAATAAAGAAATTTTATCCATTTTCTTTAAATTTAGTTAAATAATAGATTCAAATTTGTGATGACACTCCAGAACCACAACAATTTACTGGCAAAGTATTGTGACTTATATGTTCATAATCAAATTCTGAGTGAAATTACAATATATACAATCAAATATATAAAAATAATAGAAATCGCTCTAGCATCCTAAGAATGAACTCGTTGGTTCATATTACATATAGCTAGACAAAAAAGAAAAAAAAATTAAAAAATGCTTTAAAGGGCACTAAAGATCGCTTACTTTGTCATAACATGCTATCAAATGATGAATGATTAATGGAGGATGATAACAAAGAAAAAATCATCTGATTTGCCAAAAAAAATTCTAAAAGTTGAGTTTTTGTAGAGGCCAAACAAGGCCATTATAAGCCAACTAGAAATAAACAAAAAAGAAATCCAAAAAAATTCATGTAGCTAAAATAAAATTATCAACACGTGAAATCATTTTGATTCTTATGCTTTTATGTTTTAGTATTGCACTTTTATATCTTGACTTACATTGATAGTTTGATGTCCGTATAACCCTTATTACTTCATGACTTGATTTTAGGATGTCAGCATGTTACTTACTCTTTTATGCAATTTATTACAAATTTATTAGGATATTGATGTTACTTTTATAGCGTTAACATATTAGGATATTAATAATTATTTCCTACTTCAAATTTTTAAATTTGTAATTTTTTTTCCTTATATGAGTGTGAATCTTATGCTTAAAAATGTTTTGAGGCTTACACCTAACCTCACAAAAGAAAAACTCCTCAATGTCCGATCATGCAATCTAAACTTTTTAGAGAATGAATTTTGTTCCCATTTAGAAAGCTTTGAAACATTATATGTTAAACCAACGAATCTAACAAATCATATTTGATATTTGTCAAGAATAGGGCTGTCAATTTGGCTCGTTGTTCGTGAACAGCTCGTGTTCGGCTCTTTAAGCAGCTCTTGTTCGGCTCGTTCGTTAAGCATAACGAGCCGAACACGAACAAAAGTTTGTTCGCTCGTGTTCGGCTCAAATTGGCTCGAAAATAAATATATATAAATATACATAATACATATTCATAAAATTAAATATGATAAATTATAATTAATTAAAATAATTTAAATAACAATATCATCATATTTTAAATAATTAAATCCTATAAATTATAATACATAATAAATTATTAATAATAATATATTGCTATTAGTTTGTTACTTAAAACAAATAAATATATCACATATATACCTGAATGACATAAATAACACCACAATCTTATTGATGTATTATTGCGGTGTTATTGATGTGTTATTACGGTGTTATTGATGTGTTATTCGAGTGTCATTGATGTACCGAATAACACATCAATAACATCATAATAACACATCAATAACACTCAAATAACACATCAACAGCACGTCAGAATACTAGTGCCAACCTAACTCCATTTTCTAAGATCATTCATCTACTCTTTCATTTTTTATGACTCATTTGTCCTCTTATAACTCTAGATATTCTAGGAGTTGGTAGGTTATAAAATATCACTTGAGCTAATCAACATCAAGTACCTTGGTCATGTTTTATGGTAAGCAAAGTCAAAGAAAGTATTAGTCCAGAAAAAAAAAAAAAAAAAGTTTATATGCATAGCACACAATTCTTCTGTATTTACATTCTTCTGTATTTACATATCATATCTCACACCTCGACCTTCATTATTACACCCATAGCATTTTGGGGCTTCAAAACTTATGCATGAAAGGGTGTATTCACTTTTTAAAAGTCGTAATACTTTTTTTTTTGTGATATTTAAAAATTTTAAGTGCTATGCGTGCAAATATGAAATTTTTGGTGTGACATTTGTAAATACATAACAATTGTATGCTATGTATGTAAATGTCCCGATAAAGAAATTATAGTAGCAGTTGAATAGAAGTGAAGTGAGATTCTACAGCTTTCAGGCATGTTTACTAACCCTCCTTGAACACTACAACATCCATTCCTACGGATCATGGATACTCTAAAACAGCATCATATTGGCATCCATCATTATCATCATCAACATCAACACTGGATTTATACAAACTATTAAAGAAATGCTTATATGGTGTCCATTATATTTTCCTCCATGTCTTCCACACGACCTCCAACCATGCTACCTTAAGGGGTTGTCTGGTAACGGTTTTAGCAAATTTGGCAAATCCTATAAATCCAACAAATAAGAGAATTCAGTAAATCAGGGATTTGAGGAAAAACTAAGAAGTACTTGGGACAGAATTGGATTTATTTAATCCAAGATTTAAAATTGCCATTTTTTTTTCTGCTTCCTGCTTAAATTCTTTACCATAAATTCCCTTAAACTACCCAATTTCCTCTATAATCTTTTAAAGTTTTACTTCAATATACCAATAATGTGGAGCATCCTCTGTTTCTGCAAGCCAAAAGAATTCTACATGGGATAATGATGGTATCTTTCACATTCAAACAAGTGCATACAGATATTAAATTCTCTCAAAAGATCGGTCCTATAAATCAATCCAAACTCAAACAGATGATAAAAAAAGTAATGGTTCAAACTCAAAATATTAAAAAAAATCAGCAAACAACATATTCTAATATTGGAGTTGGAGAGCTCAGATTGCGCCGCAAAAGAGAATTTAGTGAAACCGATGAACCTGTTTCAGCTTCGCGGTGGTCTCAATCAAGCGGCCCTGGAGTTCGACAAATGCCTGAAAACATAATTTCGAAATGAGTCCCACAATAGCAGTAGAAGAATTATAACACGCCTATAACTGAGAGCTTCAAGGAATCAGAAAGCGTTACGGTTCTGTTAGCTTCATCCGCCATTTTCAGAGATCTTGGAGCCCTAACCCTAGAAGCAAAAACGCTAGCGTGCTTTTAAAATCGACCGTGCATCTCACAGGACCACAAATCCGGTCGATAAAAATATTTAAACGAAAAACATTGTTTTTAATAAATTAAACAAAAAAAAAATGAGGGAAATTTACATGCATACCACACAATTCTTATGCACTTATATATATATATATATATATATATATATATATATATATTTATAATATATATAATGTCTAACTTTTATATTTATATTTATAATATTTTGGTTTCATTTAACTCATGCATTAAACTGTGTATTTGACTCTTAAGGAGTAAATAAAAATGTGGTTTTATAAGATATTTTAGATTTAAGCATTAAGCAAGTAAATATAAAATTTTAAGCATTAGATATATAAATAGATATGAATTTTGAGGTATGTATGTAAATAAGCCAAAACCTTATATTATGATGATAAGATTTATATAAATAAAATCATAACAGTCATTCTAAGGAATTATGAAATCCCAAGTCAAACTCGTTTGTTTAGAGCACTTATGAATCAACCAAATTTTAAAAAATGGAAAATATATATCAGAACAATATTTTTTTATTCCTTGGAAATAAAAATAAATTCATTCATTTTCAATATTTTTGAAAACATATTTCACAATAATATTTTTTTAATAAGCTGCAATTATTTTGATTTATAAAAATAGTTATACTGATAAAAAATAATTAAATTACATTGTATTTAGTATGCAATAAAATTAGTTGAGATTTTATTGATTTTTAAACATTTTAACTTGATGAATTGCTAATTAAGTAATTAATCATGATGAAGGTTGTATTTTTTATTCTTTGAAAATGACAATGATTAGTGTTCAAGATTCAATTATTTAATGGTGATTGAACCGAATAACTTTATTATAATTTAAATAATGCAATATTTTAAGTGAAAAAAAAACAAAATTTGTACATAGATAATATCTTCGATAATTATAAACTTAAAATTTGATATAAAATTTATTAACATAGAACTATTTATAAATACAATATATAAATATATTAACAAATAGAAAGTTTATATTATAAAAAAATAAAATATAAAGTACTGCTAAAATACATATCTTCAAAGCCCAAATCTCACGATCCAATTATTCATTCGTATAATTAATCCAAACACAAATCGCACAAGTAATAATAGAGATGAATTAAAATTTTGTTATGAAACATGAAATATTATAATAAACATACAGGGCATTCAACACAAACATAGATATTAAAAAGAATGTTTATAAATACGGCTTCTACCAACCTGAATAATACATCTGATATATACATTAAGTTGAAAAAATTAACAGCAATGTGAAATATCAAAGAGAAACTACAGCAGTTGAATTCATAGAGTCTGTTGCAAGCATTCAAAGAGAAAAAAGAATGATAAAAATAGATAATTTTTTTCTGCAAAGTTACAAATAACGTCCAAAATTACAATTTGTAACCAGTCAAAGGAGAAATTTCGATTGAAGGCATTACTTACTTTGACAACCAATATATTAGCATAAGGAACATACAAACCGACGCGACCAGGGAAAGAATAATGGTGTCCATTGATTTCTTTCGTCTGATTGCGGACAGAATGTTATTCACCTAAATATTTTTAGCTACAATGTTAGCAAACTTGTAAGGATTGAACAATATTGGAGAGATATTAAAGAAGCATTTCACTTACTGATGGAAGCCGGCTGCCCACGTTGCTTAGCTTCATGTTAATACCGGCAAATGAAGATCGCTGAAAAACTAATGTGCCCAGAGTAGCATGGGCTTGAGAGATCACCGCGTCCATCTGGATTTCAAACATGAACAAATAAACTTCAAGAGCAGTGTTATGAAGTTCCTTCAACATTAATCTCAATGCAGTTTTAGATATTTAATTGTTTATGGTTTACATACATACCACTTGATTCCTATGTATTTACATATCTAACACCCAAACTTCAATTTATACATGCATGCCACCTTACCTATGTATGAAAAAGGTACATTGTACTTTTAAAAAGTTAAAATGGTGGTATTTTTTATGTGATATGAAAGATTTAGGTGGTGTGAATGTAAAAAGTAAAATTTAGGTGTAAGATATGTAAGTGCATAAGAATTGGGCGGTATGCAAGTAAATGCCCAAAAAAAAGTAAAATAATCTCCAAAGGATAGGGGTGCAGGTGTCGGTCCTTTTGGACAACAAACAAATCAAATACCTGTCCTGTGCTTCTGTTGATAGTTGCCTGTTCTTTCAAGAGAGCATGCTCCTCATTTGCAGCACCCTCTTCCAGATCCAACCTCGCCTTGTCAAAATCCCTAAAATTCAGTAGTGATGCACGTTCCTGTCTTGCTTTAAGGCTCAAACGTAATCGGTAAAATTCCTGCAAGCCAAAAATGATTGATGAAGATTAATTTTCACATACATGACCAATGAAAAGGTGTATTTCACTTTCTAAAAGTTAAACGGTGGTTTTTTGATGTGATATGAAAGATTGGGTGGAATAAATGTAAAAATTAAGGTTCAGGTGTTAGATATGTAAATACACAAGAATTGTGTGGTATATAAATGCCCCCTCTAGATAGGAAGATTTACATACATAAAACACAATTCTTACGTATCCATGCATCAATCAACTAAATTTAAATTTTTACATACATGTCATCTTACCCCTGCATAAAACGGTATATTTCACTCTTTAAAAATAAAAATGAGCATTTTTTATGTGATAAAAAAGATTTGGGTTGTATTAATGTAAAAAGTAAAGTTAAGAAGCTAGATATGTGAGCACAGCATTTTTTATGTGATATATATGTAAATGCCGCTTCTAATTATTTTTTAAGACGGCTTCCCTCGACCAAAGTTTTATTTTAGACAGAAAATTACAAACTAATTGAGATATACCAAGTTTTTCACCAACTATTTTTGTGCCAACTACAGAAGATACATATGGTTTGATTTCTCCGTTGCAAATTTATACAGATATTTACCTGAGTAAGATCCTGTGAAATTTCTCTATGTCGATTCAATGTGTGAGAAAGAATTTCTGAGCCTCCCGATGAAACCCAAGTTTGCATTTGAGAATTAACAAGTTGGAGTTGTTTCAATAGTCGTTCTATGCTGGACTCGAGATCAAATTCTGAGCCATCAGGTTGTGTTGAAACGAGCCTGCGATATTGATTCAACTGCTCATCCAGCTGAGTTTCAAGTTTCCTGGCCTAAAAAGATACAGAAGAAAGATTTTTAAATTTAAAAGATGAAAATGGTAGGACATTATTGCATGCCTCATCATGTTCTTCGCAAATTTTACAGGCAGCAAAAGGGATATAAATGAAAATGAATTACAGATGGGGCATTTATGCACATACAACCGAATTTTTATGTATTTACATATCTAACAGCATATCTAACACCTGCATTTTTTACATTTAAACTCCCTAAATCTTTCATATCAACATATCTAACACCTGCATTTTATTTTTTTTACATTTAAACTCCCTAAATCTTTCATATCATATAAAAAATACCACTATTTTAAATTTTAAAAAGGGAAATACATCTTTTAATGCATGGGTAAAGTGGCATATATGTAATAATCGAGGTTTAGGTGCTAGATAGGTAAATACATAAGATTTGAGTTGTAAGTATGTAAATCTTCTATTACAAATTTATTTTCCTTCAAAAAGGACAGATCAAATCATAAAGAAACAAATTTAAGAAAAAATATATATTATAATTACTAGAAAATGCCGTCAAACAAAGATTTTAGCTGACGACCTGAAAGACTTCAGAAATTTTGTATTTTTTATGCAAATGTAAGGGATTAATCTCCAAATAATTTGTAAGATTAAACCGAAAAAGGTGCTCATGAAATGTCGCTTTATGAAGGCTACCATTTTCCTCAAGAAAACAACGTAAATACCTGTTCGTCAAACACGAGGCAGGACAAGAAGAGATGTTTAGAATAAACAACAATTTCTGTTTGAGAATATAATTGTTAAAACTACACTAATACAAACTAGAATGTACGTGAATGCATTTTCCTCCCCTAAAAAGAAAAAATCTTTACATAATAATGTAAAAAGGATGAAATAATTCACAAAACTGTTTTGAGGTTCGTAAGATGTTAGCCGGACTTTTTCTAAGGAAGCAATATACCTATGAGAGTTTTTTTTTCTTTTACCTACAAGAAATCTTTTTTTTTTTTTTTTTTCGTTTTATACCTGTGAAATGTTTTGATACACAATATATATTTTAATTTGAAGTGTCTGCTTCAAATTCCTCAAAGTATCAAGCCTAGAGATATGTGTCTCAATCAACAAAACATATGCTTTACTCGGACCATTAAAAATTAAGCCTTGAGGAAATATAGGGATATTACATAATAAGGCATGCATCGAGGCGTATTTCTTCAACTTCGTTTTTGAGTAATATGCCTGACAGGGCTTATCTAGCCTTAGAAGCTTCATCCTCTTGTGATATTATGTTTGACCCCTCCTACTAATTTCTATTCGGTGGCTTCTAATTTAAAAACCTTTTGCTAACTATTATCAATCTACAGTCTAATGTGGAAAAAGCCCTTCTGTAACTTTCTTAGCTTTATATATCGAGGCTTCAGGCTTCTTATTAATGTGTTGTTACCTAAGGCTTTTCTCCGGCAACAACTAGATCTTGTTCCTTCAATTCAATGACTTTTTGATATCCGACCAAGCTCTCCTTATTTCAAATGGTTTATAAAGGAGATTCCCATGGAAAACGAACATCCATGTTTTTATTTATGATTGAAAAAGGATAAATTTCTCTTTGTTTCAAGCATATATAAAAATTAAATAATGTTTGAATGAAAAAATATATTCAGATTTGCTAGTCCTACTTTATGGATTCTAGGAAAGTTTTAAGTCATTTTACAGACATGAGTCTGGCCTTTTGGTGAATTATATCACTTATATATGTTTTGTTATTGATTTGAAAGAGATAGAGTTTGACTAAATATGATAAAATTTGGTTTCTATTAAAAAATGAATACCAAAATGTTATTTAGCTTCTCTTGATTTTCATTGTGTTATTAGTTTTCGTCAAAGATAGTAAATAATTGTTGAGTCCAAAATCTTCCATCCTACAAATTTTCAGCACTTGTTATAAGATTACATACGTCTTATATAGGATCTTCATTACAAAATCCAAACCGTAAGATGCCCTCTATCATTGTTGGTATCAAACTTAAGGATGTATAACAATATTTTCTAAATATAGAACATAATAATAGATCAGTTAATATAACAACAAAAACTTGTAATTTAAACAAAATTAGTTAAGCAATGATTTTAAAAGATTTCAACATAATACTAAAGAAGTTAGGAGTTCATTTCTACAAATGATGAGAAAAAAATCCTGAGTCGACATGTAACATAAAAATAAAGAATATTATTTTATGATTCATTGATTAAAATGATCATGTATGCTATCAATTTCAAAGTTTTGAACGAAGTAATTATATTACATTTAAATATTTTCTAATATTTAAAGGTCTAATAGCCAAGCATTATTTTCCTAGACTTTACTATATTATTGATATCTATTTCATTAAAGGTCAAAGGAAAAACTTTAAGCATGAATTAAAGCTAGAATCATCTAAAACAGATATATAAGGCTTTCTATAAAACTAGAGTTTGAGAAATATCATAATTGCCATACAGCTATAAGTATTGCACCTTTGCTTAATATTACTTGGAGCTTGTGAAAAAAACATCTGCTTCAAAATCATGTTTGTTTAAACTTGATCTTAATGAAGAAGGTTTAATTCAAAATTATTTCTTACAAGATTCAATAAATTCAAAAAAAAAATTTCCAGCTAGAAAATGATACTAAATCGGATTTGTCATATCTAAATTTGTACCATAAACTACATTATAATATGTGCCAACCTAAGAACTAGAATCTTTTCTTGCATTAAAACTAAAATTTGAACAAGAATCTAGAATTAAATATGAAATCTTATTTGAATCTCTGAATTTGGAATTGGAAAAAGTGGATATCGACGATGTTTATCATTTGAACAAATTGATAAATATACTTCCTAAGAAATTATTTGTTTATGTTATCCCTACGATGAATACCAAATTCGTATCAATTTCATATTTAATTTATAAATTTATAAAAAGGACCTTATTAAAAGTTAATATATTACCTTGGATCTATTAATGATCTCTAATTTCAAGATAAAAAGATATCTAAAATTCCATCTATCTGGTTAAATCCAATTATTCATCAGAAGTAATCTTCAAATCATTTTATATACATTTTATTTCAAAGAAGCTTGTTCACATAAACACATCTTATCTTAACCAAACTGGGTCTTGTCATCCACAAGTAATAACATATTCATTAATTTATCGGTATTTTGATATTAACTTTATACAAATCATATCCTTAATGCATTATCTATTTATCATTATCTATTTATCATATGCATGATTTGGGTGAAATCATTCACAAGAAAATGTTAAAGTTTGACAATGATAAATACATAATTGATGCTCATGAAAGATAAATAAAATTCAAATCAGATGATAAGTTGATGATGAATCTATATCCTGAAAAATAACCAATGAAATTCATAATAAATTAATTGCCAAAAAAATGGGTCCAAATATCATGTAACATGGGACAAATGCAAGCATTAATATGAGTTTTAAATACTATACCAAGTTTTAATGTAGCACATATGAATTTATATCATGAAACATCAGCCAATGTGACGAAGCACATGTCTAGTATATTCATAGAAAAGTGGCCATATCACAGACTAGCGCCTTGAATCAAGCATGAAAAATAACAGCATCATCATTATCAAAGCAACCAAAAATTCAAAGCATGGAATTTAATCATGTATACCCAGCCCCACAATGATTTTTAACGTTTTATAATCTAAGCACTACTCTCTTTCCAAAACTAGCTTGGTCGGCCCCTCCCTCTTTTCATCTATAGCCCATACCCTACTGACCTCTCGTCGGACTCAAAATTTTATCCTCTCTCTTAATGCCTTCCATATCAAGCCCCATGACCCTCAATCATCAAACCCTAATTTAAAGTTTCCAACTGTAAAAAGCAAGCCCTAATCCTCTACAACTATCACGAATAATCACCAACACTTACCACCCTCTTCTCCGTTTATAGATTCTTCCCACTGCCATCTAACTGATATCATAAACAGATTTCAAGGGTGCTTTTCCAAAGCATCAGAACATATCCATAGGAGAAGAGGCCAGGTGATCAAAACTTGAATAGAAAAACTGCAGCAACCAAGACAAACCCTTCCCTTAAGAGATCGATGATCTAATTTTAAAAGTGAGTTACATCTGAATTTCCTTTAGTAACAAATTTCTTTTAATGGCAAATTGTCTTTTCCAAAAGTGTATAGGAATAATGTATGTTGATAGGCAATTCCATAAAAACTTGTATTACTAAGTAAATAAATACCAAATAAAACTCAAACTTTATGTACTTCAGAGATCTTGTTATATTTGTGATCAAACCCAAATATCCTTCCCCTTACTACTTCACTCTTAGGTTTTGTGCTAGAACTGCTGTCAAATCCTCTACTTCTTCTAGTATTGAAACTCACAATAAGAACACTTGAATATTAATTATTTAAAATGTCATCCAAAATATCCTCTACAAAATCAAAGTTAAGACTAAGATTTTATATTGCCATAAACTGTTGACATTCACCATTGCTACGCAACTTGAATAGAGAAAACCTGACTAAAAGCAACGGGCAAAGGCAACATAAGTGAAATTGCATGAATCTGTTCTAAATTGCCTCAACTATTGTTGAAACTGTTCAAATGATGTGCTTATGTGCTATGGACAACATCGATGCATTCAGAACATCAAAATACACATGAAGAAACCGAGGCCATCAAAATAGACAAATGTTGTCACATCCTAGACATTGAAATTTCTTAGAAATGACACATGTTGTTGGGGTTCCCATGCAAATATAAATTATAAACTTGCTTGAGCAGCGACAGCGAAAAGTGCACCTACATGCTAGGTTGTTGACATGAAATTCGACACACAAGATTCGAGAAAATGTACAGTTAGAAAAATAATAATAACAACAATTGAAGCTTTATTTTATTTTTAATATAAAAAATAAAGTCATAATGTATAAATATATCTTAAAAAAATATCCCTCAACTAGCTAGCCATATGTCCAAATCTAGTTTCACACTCCAGAAAGTAGTCCCTTGCATCTCACACATGCCGCCATTCTGTCTTGTGCACACTTCCCCCCATTTTCTACTCATTCTTTTCTATGTGTGACCACGCCACAGCACTCACCTTGATCTCTACTCTTCTTATTTAACAAGGAGGGGAAATGTGCTTCTATGTTAGAAGTACTCATAGAAGTTGTACTTGAGAAGGCAGATAAATATGTGTACTTTATGATATAAGTATATCTTCAAATTGTGCTCGACATTACAATAGTGTGTGCAGTCTTATCTAGATTGATTGATTTGCATATTAGTCAAACCCAATGAAACCCAAATTTAAAATCTGAGAAAATCAAAACAAATGAACTTTTATTAAAACTGATCCCAACCGAACCGAAATGTAATTCAGTTTAATAGGTTCGGATTTGAGAAACCAAATTTTAATATTATACATAAATTATTAAAAATCAAGGTTTTATTTGGAGAGATTTTTCTCACCATCTCCCTCTCTCCCTCTAATAGGCTATGAAGCTAACAAAATAGCGAAGAAATGCCATGCGAGGCTCATAATGGACAATCAAGTTCAGGTGCATGTAATTTTTCAAACCTAATATTATTCAGTTTTTTTTTTTGTTTTTTTTTTTGTTTATCTGGTTTATTGAAGATCAAAATCGATCTAAAAATTAAAAAAATTAAATATTTAAATTCTCAAAAAATTAATTTGAACAATTATTTCAAAGTCAAACTGGATCAACCAAATGTAACCAGCTTGCTTCAATTTTTTAGTTTTGACAAAATAATGTACATCTATACAAGGCCGGGAAATATGTAATGGTGTATGATATAAGTACCCACATAAGTTATACTTGAAGAGCCAGAAGATCTGGTGTAAATTTTTAGGCAGGTACGCGAAGATCCAAACATGTATTTCTAAATATGATGGGCGAAGAAGAACCAAATCTTGGTATCTCTCGATGCCAACCATATACACTTTTCTTAATGTAGTGGGCAGACCTAGTATCTCCGTAGATACCCTCTATGCAGGGAAGACCTTGGGTTGCTGAAAATTTTGTAACCCTACTTAGGCAAAACAAACTCAAAGGGCTATCTAGATTTTAAACACATGACTAAAAAAAATAATTTTCAAATGAAAATTAAAATATAAAATAATACCAACATATGCTTAAAATGAAAAATCAACCATGATATTCGTGGATGTTAATAAACATGTTGAATCATGTTTGAACTTAATGCACTTAATCTTTGATTAAAAGTCAGTGAACTTGTTCAACTAATAATTTGATTTAACTTGAAAGAGTGTCAATCAAGCCAAGTTCAAGTTGTTCATCAAATACAGTCCTAGCTTTGGTTTCCTTTCCAATAAGATAACAAACTTTGTAAATAAAAAAAAATAGTAGTGTATAAAAATGAAATGCTTATCACTGATCACAAAACAAAATTTATAACATACCTTCTAAATAACCTCCCCAGAGGAGCCAGTTAATGGAGTAAACTCATCCCAAACAATTATAAATCCTTGAATAAGTTATAAGGTTATTGACTAAAACAGTCAAACTACATATTGGCTATTGAACAAGAAAATCAAAGTATATTTGGCAGTCTGCATTCCAAGCTTGCAATATCAACATGCCAAGACTCTAGTAGCCCTAAAAATTCTTAGATTTTATTAGTTTGGTGTTTTTTACATGCGTGCTAGGAGGAATACTATAAAATATCCCTTGCCCAAAATTTCTAGCAAATGTAAATAAGATCGAAGTAACTAATACCAATCGTTCAATACATTTTTCTGAGTGTTTACTTACATTACTTTCTGATGCTACAATTCTCAAATCAGTAGTATCATTTTACAGATTATCTACTCTTTGAATTACTTCCATTGCAATTGGGGCCCAAGCTCTATGTTCATCCTTTGCTGTGCAAGAATTATGATGTAAAAGTGGTATGAATATCCATTAATAAGTAAAGATGCTTATGATTACAACTTAACATGATAATCTACATAAACGACAAAATGAATTGCTTGTTGATTGAAGATTCGTCTCACAAGCAAAAGTTATAATTACTATTTCCCTTCTCATTCTTAGGGAAAACTAAAATAATAAAAAGTTTCTTCTGGAAGAGTTTGCATATTTCTATCAATTAAGTGGGATAACTTTCGTATTGTACCGATAGGTTTTATGAAATTTTGTTGTTCAAATCTAAGGTTCTAAATCTCAGCAACAAAAAAACTCATCAATGAATATGAAATATATACGGATGGTTTCAGGATTTAGCGGCGTAACAAAGCAACCAAGAAAAATACACTTCTATTCCAGGATGTTAAAAGCTAATGAAGAAAGTATGCGTTACTACCAATGACAGCACGCAGCGACGGTTGACAAAAAAAATAAATCCTCGGCCTAATTAATTTTCTAAATGTGAACCCAGCCGCAACAAATCTGCTGGTCCTCAGATTGAAATCTAAATTTCCTTTGCGAACAATAAGAAATCCCGCAAGATCTCCGCAATCTCAGATGACACGGCATTGAGACATAAAGATTCAAAATCTGACGCATTACTTCTCCGGATCTGCTCTCGAATGCTAAGCGGATCACGAGAAATACAGAACTCATTCAAAGGGATCGAGAAAGAAAATTTAGAGAGAGGACAACCTGCTTCCTCAGGGAGTCCCATGAGGTTGTCTGAATCTCCATGGCTTGTTCGCTTATATATCACGTGAAGGAAAGAAGAAGGGGATGCTAGCGGAGATGGAGCGGTGAGCACAAAACTCTCAGGGAAGGACGATAAATTTAGAGAGAGGACAACCTGCTTCCTCAGAGAGTCCCATGAGGTTGACTGAATCTCCATGGCTTGTTCGCTTATATATCACGCGAAGGAAAGAAGAAGGGGATGCTAGCGGAGGTGGAGCGGTGAGCACAAAACTCTCAGGGAAGGACGAAGACGGAATTTGTTTCTCGCATTCGCTGGCAGCTTCCAACGCCTGCTATGATTCACCGAGAAAAAATAAAATAAAGTTGGGTGGTCTTTGTAAAATTAATATTCATAATTTTTTTTACAGTGAATTTTGTACATTTATGACGTCAATATTAAATTACAAAAATTCTAATAATTTTTTTTATATATGAGTTGGAATTTTTTTAAAATTTTTAGGATTTAGTTAGAATTTAATCTCCCTAATTTTTTCTGTTGACACTTGGGAGAAATTAGATATGTTAGCACATAAAAATTGTGTAATCGATATGCAAATTATTTTTTATTTTTTGATATGTGTTCAATCGGTGGTCTGTTCAATGTCAGCTTTGGCATAAGTCATCTTTGTTTCGGGTTCGAATACATCTTGGTCAAATTAGCACGTTTGGGGTGGACAGACACATGTTATCACCTATGACATATATTTTATATATATAGTGTCGTGTACTTAAATCAGTTCGTTGAGCATCTGCTTGTCAAGTATGAATACCCTCTAGTCTAGGGTTCGAAACACCCTAAGGTGCGCATTAAGAGGGGTCGGACTTGTGTCATATCTTCTGATCATTCAATTCATATATATATTTGTGTTGTTGACGTAAATGTCATTACAAAATAAAAATAAAATAAAACTCTTCCTAATTTTATAAAATAATGATTTTTTTAAGAGGAATGAGCCGCTCCAGTCCAAACTGAGCCGGATTTCATGAATTAAAAACCAGATCTCATCTGTTTAACGACACCGCAAGCAATTAAGCAAACGCAATCCCCTCTCTTTGGAAATGGCTACTACTCCTCCCCCTCCACCTTCCTCCGCCTCCTCTTCGCCAGACAACCTAATCCTGGTCGATCGCCGCCCCTCTGGGGTCGCCGTGGTGACCATCAACCGGCCGGAAACTCTAAACTCCCTGACGCGATCGATGCTGGTTGATCTGGCGAGGATCTTCAAAAGCCTCGACGGCGATCCGGCGGTGAGGGCGGTGGTGATATTCGGAAGGGGAAGGGCTTTCTGTTCGGGGATCGATCTGACTGCGGCGGAGGAGGTTTTCAAGGGGGATGTGAAGGATCAGGAGACCGATCTCGTCTTCCAAATGGAACGCTGTCGCAAGCCGATCATCGGGGCGTTGAATGGGTTTGTTGTGACGGCGGGATTCGAGATCGCGCTGGCTTGCGACATCATCGTCGCAGGAAGGGACACCAAGTTCCTGGACAGTCACTCCAGGTAAGTGCAATGCACCCCAAGTTTACTTCATTTGGCTTTAGGGATGTTATTATGAGTTCCGCCTGCTCACATATATGATGTATATCAGGTTCGGAATATTTCCATCATGGGGGCTTTCGCAGAAGCTGTCGCGGGTGATCGGAATAAATCGAGCTAAGGAGGTGTCGCTTACTTGCACGACCGTTGATGCAGAAACGGCGGAGAAATGGGGTCTGGTTAACCGAGTTGTGGACAGCGGTCGAGTGTTGAGTACAGCCATGGAAGTTGCAGAAAGCATTTTGAGGAATAATGGGGATATGGTGTTGAGGTACAAATCTGTTATCAATGATGGCTTCAAGTTGGATCTCAGCAGTGGTCTTAAGCTCGAAAAGGTCATCCATCTCAACTTTATCAACCCCCCTTTTTAATTTTTTAATTTACAAACATACCACTCAATTCTTATGTATTTATATAGCCAACTAAACTTTGATTTTTTACATTCATCACATTATCTATGCATCAAAACTTGTACGTCATTTCTTATTTTATATAAAATTATGTAAATAAATAATAATTCAGTGGGATGTTTCAATATTTTTAAAAGTGCGTCTTGAAGCATGCTTCACGCGTAAAACAAAATAAAGCGTGTGACGCCCATTTTGCTTCCCTCAGGCATGCTTTGAAGTGTTGAAATTAATTTGCTGGATTTTTTATTTTTTTTACAATATATAAATTTTTAATTATGGCAACAAAACTATTAGAAATTATTCGAAATTTTAATGTCAAGATTTACTCTCAATATTTGTCTTCACATTTTGTTTCATTTTATATCAACTTTTAAGTCATACTTTCTATTTTATAATTGTTAATGAATGTATTAATTTTGTATAATCTAGGAATGTTTTGGGCATTTTATGTTTTGAAGTAAAAATAAAAGTTTGACATTTCTATATATGTTAATCTTTAATTTTTTTATTATTTAAAAAAAAATTATAGAAAAGAACTTTGTAAAGCAACCGAAATTTCATAAAAGAAACTAAGAATCATATTAGGAAACAGAGAATAGAGTAGAATTGTGATAAAGCACAGTGTCATAACCCTGTTGATTATTGATGGGTTTGGTATTGTATATGGTTTAGGAGAGGGCACATGCGTACTACGATGGCATGACCAAGGAGCAATTTGCACAAATGCAGAAATTTATTTCTTCCCGAGGTGCCAAGTCTGCTTCCAAGCTCTAGATACTTTATTTCAACGCCTGTATTGTAACTGTTTTAATAAGAATTATTCATATTCAGCTTAAATCTCGAATGTATGGTGGAAATAACATCAAACTTTGTATCGTCCTTGAAACTAAGGTCTATTGATGTCGTTGCTGCTTGCAACAATATATCAGATGGCATTATGCCAATTTACATAGCTTTGGAAGAAGAAAAACAATTTAATTATTTCTCCATAGTTTGAATTTAAAACATAGAATATTCCTTTCAAAATTCATAAATAATCTCAATTGATTTCATTTCAAGGAATTCTGATCATTCATGTTGTTTGGATATTTTTTTAACATTAAAAGCTCTTCAGATCCTATTGGAACTCACGCCATTTAGGAAGCCCTTTCTCCATACAATTTAGAACTCTGAACAATGTTTATTTTAATAAGAGAGAGGGTGTGGAAGAAAGGATAAGCTTGGGCTGTGTAACGGTTCTGTTAAAAAAAATAAAAAAATAAAAAGTAAAAATAAACTGAAAGACAAAGAACATGAGGTCAGGAGTCCAAAACCGTAGGGAGGAAGCCAAAAAGTTGAGCGCCGCTAAAGATTTGTTTGTGTGATCTAGAGGAGACTTATCTGAGAGGTGAATGACAACATCTCTATCAAGATGGTACCTCGGGTCACTATTACATGGATATTAAATGATAATGATATAATAAAGATATATATTAATTTGAATCGTATGTCAAATATTTATTTTAATTTATAAAAAAGCATAACTGACATGCATATTATTCTTTCTTTTCTTTATATTATTGTAATTTAGAAGTATGAATACTCAATAGCTTTGTTTAGCTTATTATTATTTTAGCAAGCTTTTAATGTTTAATTAAATTATTAAAAGATAAGCGATAGATAAAAAAACGTATATAGAAAAGGCGAACAACCATAAATGTGGTAAATTTTAATTGTATCGCTTTAATTTAATTTGAAGTGGCTCTTTCATCCGTTTATTTGAAAGTTAATATGGAAGAAAAAATTTTATATCATCCAACTGCCGCTCCCAGCCTTGAGTAACTCCAAATCCCGGGCTGAGTCTTAATAAGCTGTTGTATGCATATCACATGCATTGAAGTATTTCACTTTTTTGAAGTTAAAATGGTGATATTTTTAATGTGATGCGTGAAATTTGTGATATAGATATAAAAAACAAAGTTCAGATGTTTGGTGTGTAAATACATAAGAAACGAGTGGTTTGTAAATAGCTTAAGCTAGCAAAAAAAACACCGAAGTAATGCAAAAATTTCTGAAAAAGCACCAAGTGTACTCAAATTTTATTTTGAGATGAGTGCAATACAAAGCTTAATTGACTAATTATGAATCACATTGATGTCCACAATAAATTCAAGCGTATAAAACTCATCCTGATTAAATTTCTCCATAGTTAGTGGAAAAGTTGCTTGAGATCAATTCTATAGTGGAAAGAATTAAAACTATGATTTAGGGAGGATTCCACCTGAGAAGGCCAGCTAAAAGTTCTGAATCAAACTTGCCATGGGAAACAAGTGAGCCCACCAATTTCACCAACTCCCCAACTAATCGCTCCATGTAAAGTGTGTATAAAACATTCCTTGATTCCAGGAGTTTTAATCCCTTTTGGGTTTGTAAGATTGATCTCACCCATTCTTCAAGCAAATCTGCATGTAGAAATTTAGAACATTATAACAAATTACTATAATTACAATATTATTAAGGGACCATTTGGCATCATTTTTTTTCTTTTATTTTTCTTTTTATTTATATTTTTTACTTAAAATAAAACATGTATTATAGATCATAACATGATTTGTTGCTTTTAAAAGCACTCAAAATAATTTTTAGTGATTTTTAAAAACAAAATAATTTGTTTTTTTTAAAGCATGCAAAACTGATATTAAACAAATATATTTTTACAATAAAAATAAACAACAAAACTAAGAGTGATTCCAAGCAAGCCCTAAGAAAATGGAAATATTTATGATGATTTTGTACAAGGACGGTTTAGATCTAACCCGTATTTGACTTCATCCAAAATACATGACCTGAACCTAACATATCTATTAAACAGGTCATAAAGTTCAAACCTAACATAACTCGCATTCAATCAAAATGACCCAAACCAAACAAGAGTAAGTCATCATTCAGTGAAACTCTTGTCATTATTTTGGTTAAATTTGATTCAAGTTTGGATTTTTTTGGTCAAGTTCAAATTAAATTTAGGTTTACAAGTCTACCACATTAAGTCCAAAATTAAGAAAACTCTTAATCCGAAACAAAACTAAAAATTAATCCGATCAATCTGAATCTGAACTTTTGAGTCAGTTTCAGGTTGAGCTATTGGGTCGATTTTTTATTTTATTTATTTATTTTTTACTCCCTAACTTTGTGATCGCTGCAAAGCTATAAACTTCAGTGGGATAAACATGGAAATGTACTAACGATAGTCAAAATCTTCATCATTTGTCCAGATTTGAAAATTGTCTGATACAAGGAACTCCATCAGCTGTATCCTGCATTTTTTTTCATTAAAAAATGCGTGATTAAAAATGTATAAATATCCAAAAAAAATTTTAAAATGATTTCTGATTCGATGGACCTGATACATCATTCTAAATAGATGGGCGTTTATGCTAAATTACCTCAAAATAAAATATTCAAGATGGCTTCGCTATGTTTATGAAAGGAAAAAGAGATGTGGAATCCTAATAACTTACATTAAGAAGATGCTGCAATGCATGTTAGGGAAAGCTTCATCAAATGGGTCCATGAAAAGCATCCTCTCTGCAGCGGCTGAAATCTTCTGAGATATTAAAAGCATTGCATGCTGACCAACAAATGCAATAGTTCCAAGCTTTCTCAGTAAGTGTTGTACCAAAGATTGAACGTCCGAGTTACCAACTGAAGGTTCTGAATGGTTATTCATATAAATATCCAATAAGACAGCCAAAATATATAGCAGCGAGGTACAAATTAGGCATTTAATTTCACAGTAGTGAAGGCCAAGCAATTTAAAAGGTGAAAGAAAATTTATTGCTACATATCATCATCTTTGGCCAATAAAATACTACAGAGGCCTAATATTGCAAATAAGCATAAACGAAATTAAATTGATATTCATTAATAGCATATAATCAAACATATCCATTAGAATCAGTACTAAGAAATACATTATTGCACATAGTAAATATATTCTCGACAGTAGAAGGTTCTTGCAAATTCTCATATCACAGAAACCACAAGATTTAAGTCATTAAGATCTTCAATATCCTCAAAAGGTTTGAGATATAAGCTTACGTTAAGCTAGCTCTGATGTGCGCAGATTGGGTTATCATAAGGACATGCAGAACTATCAAAATTTAAGGAACTAAAATGTGGTGTATAAATCCTAGGTGGAAGATTCTGATAGATTCTCTCAATCTTAAAAATCCAGTAATAAGCGTGAGGCATAAGAATCAATTTATAAATCTACAGATAATATTACAAGAGAAAATAGTGATTATATATAGATCATGAAGTTGACTTACCAATCACAATATTTAGGATCAGAATATGACTTTATATAAGTTTGTCAATTTGATCCCCTAATTTGACCTTCAAATAGAAAGTTTAAAATTCTCACATAATTTCATATTTCCAAGTCAGTCCACTTGTGCACCTTATAATGGGACTCAATGTTTTGCTTAAAGCATAGAGAATAACAATCAAGCCTAGATTTCATGAGTATTATTTTACTCGAGGGATGTACAAGAAACTTAACAAAATATGTTAAAATGTCGTCAGACCAATCTAACAATGCATGTGGGTCTTGTGAACAATCAAATATAAAAACATGGTAATAATCCATGTCATATGACCATGTGTATTAAAGTTGATTTGTGATTGAAAATTTGATAGCTAGCACCAATGCAGCATGTGTGCCATGAATTCAATAATTATCGCAAGAAAATATACTTAAAATAATAAATGTATTATCGCTTTATGTACTAAAGTCATCCAATTATCAAATATAGCAAGTGGATTACTTTTTTGTTCATGGTCGGAGCCTAGAAGGATGATAATGGAGTGAGTCGTATGGTCGAATTCTAGTGAAATTCAACCATAGTCAGCAAATATAGAGGATAAACTTGAGGAGACGCATCATGAGTTAGTTCTGGGAGGACGGGTGATGTAGGAGGGGGAATGCATAAAACAGCAACACAGCAGGAGCTGAATGTCAAAACCAAAAGAAATACGAAACTAAAATGAGGTGGTGAATGGTTTCAAAGTTTGATTGCAGGAAGAAGGGCAATGGTTTGGAGGAAGCGAATGTGAAGAACTAAGGGGTGAGGAAAAAGATGATTTGGAGGGAGTACTCTTATCATAGGAGACTTCATGAAAAAGATGGATAACTGTCTTCTTCTCAAGGTTTTCAAGCGCTCTGATGCAGAACTTAAGTTCAAGAAAGAAGAAGAACCTTCTTCATTGTCACCATCATCATCATTAACCTTGTCCCAATTATTTATGGTCTGCTTTATGAATCCTAATTACCCATTATCCTAGAACAACTCATGAGGAAATTGGAGAGTTTTTCTTGAAATGTTTTCAATAACTCTAATGACAAAAAAAAAGTTTTTTTTTTTTTTGAGGGATAACAGAAGAACAGACCTAAAGCTTTAGAAGGGGTGAAAAAAAAGAAATATAAATCATCATCATTAGTCACATGCCAACCATTATAATATGATATATAAATCCTTTTTTTTCATTTATTCTTATTGGATATGATATGAGGTGCTAAGCTATTTTGTTCAAATATTTGTGCAGAACTATATCCATGTTACCTTTGACCTAACAATTTCCCTTTCTAAAACAATAAATAAATTTCAAAATTAACATTATCTCATTCTTTCAATGCAAGTTTGACGCTTCATTATACATGCTCAAACCATCTAATAATTATATAGGTTGGATTAGTTAAAGTGTCATCAGACTTCCTTGGGAACAAATACAATCGCAAAGTAGGCCTTGGGGCATTGGTTGAAATGATATAATGGTTTTTTGCGAATGACATGCAAGGATAGGTGCTATATTCTTTATCAGTCAGTACTAAAGTATACATCCTATCCTATAAATGAAAATTAGAGTATAAGGCATGATATCAAAATTAGACCGATAAAATTAAAAATATTTTTAATACACTAAATACTCAGTTCTATTAACAGTCTTAATAAAATAGAAAAAATAGGAAATTACCATCACATTCTGTATCGGTACACATCCTTACTGTCAGGCGCAAAATTAATCCATTGACAATATCTTCAAGAAGTTCAAGGCCCTTTTGTGATGACAATAAGTTCTTCAGTGAAGCTTCAAGAAAGAATGACGAGATAATTTACAAAACCAAATTTGAACAATTAATTTGATAAAATAAATAAACATAGACATTATAACCAATTTGATGCATTGCGAACAGCATTTTGCAGACAGTTTGATGGACAAGCTATTTAGGTTAGGCTGTATATGAGGGTCAGTTGCAAGAGTGGCACCAAATAATCAAAGTTTGACGTTGTATATGCAAACTCAAACTCATATTAGGGTAGAAAAAAGGCATGAAACTGACATGCAAATAAATCACCCTTAAACCCATAAGGTTCACCCAAAATCTTGAGCATTTTGCAATTCACATTGCAATAAAGTGCACAGAGTAATCTCTATGATACACTCTGGTGCCAAAATCAGCCAGCAAACAATCACAAAACGACAAGAGATAGAAGGCAAACTCAAAAGAGGGTTGGGATGCTCTTAACAAACAAATAAAGGTAAAAAGTAAGGTATAAGGGTGATCTACTATTCGAGAGGTAGATCGGCTCTCCCACAAACCCAAATGTCACTAGGAACACAAAAAGAATAATAAAAACACAGCAGCCAACAAAAATATGCATAAAGAAAACAAACCCTAGGTTCCTTCCCTTAATAAAATCCTCCCATAGCAATTTAAATCTTTCCTTTTTCACTTTCCCTCCAAACATGCTTTAATTTCTCCTCGAGTATGTTATTAAGCCTCCTGTGGACGCCACCTACCCCCTACCCCTTTCTGTCGCAACAAGGTGCCTCCTGACTTCTTCTTGCGAACGGGATCAGCCCACTCGTTGTTGTGGGGGTCGATGCTTTGGCTTTCAACTGGTCCAGAAGGGATCGGACCAGGAACGGGCATAACACTACTCCCCTCCCAAAGAAGTACCTTGTCCTCAAGATGGAAGAATAGAAACTGTTTATGGATCACCTTGTGAGGCTCCCATTATTGGCATCGATTTTCGATGTCACAAGAGTGGGATGCTTGCCTGAGGATACAGGACTATGCTTAGTTTCGTGTCATCCAAGACATCCTATCGGACCTCCTGGTACATGCCCCGAGCACGAAATCATGATCTGTACCGACTTGACCCTACCTGGGAAAATTCACCATGAGGTGGTGTTAGCCCCAACTCCGGACATGTTTTACGTCCATTCTGATGTTGACAGACCCAACTCCATCAATCCGGACTCTTGTAAGGCCAAGGGTAGTTGCCAAGATCCCCCCACACAAATTTTGAGAAAATCCGGGTTTATACCTATTTTACCCGTGCGGTCCGGGGCACCTGTCGGCACCAAAAAAATCTAATTTGAAACCTCTAATAATTTTCATTTTTGAGTTACGGGGTCGTATTCTAGCGATACGCAATTTTTCGTCGCTTCTATATCGACGTGGACCTTCCTACGATTATCCAGGCAAAAATTAGGGCTTGGAAAAATTTACCCGCGTCGTGGTTCAGGGCAACTGTTGACGATGACTTGTCAATGAATGACCGATCAAAATAGTCATTTTTTAAGTTATGGGACCATATTTCAGTCATACCTAATCCCCCATATCTTACGGATCGAAGAAACTATCCATCGAACAATCTACCCAAAAAATATGGTACTGCAAATAATACCTGAGAAAGTAGGCGTCAGGAGCAATTGTTGGCGACAAACCAGCGCAGATGAGAGATTGTTGGCAACTGTTCGTGATAAAATAATAATAATAATAATAATTTATGTCTATGATGTATATGTAAATATAACTTTATGTATAAAAATAATAATAATAATTGAAAAGGACACAAACATATATATGTGTATGTATGAGATTAAATCTAAAATAGTCCCCCAAGTGCTCGTGTGAGGCCAATTTAGTTCAAGTACCACATTTATTCCTTTGACTATACGAAATTGATCTCAATTTAGTCCCTAAGAAATATTTTGGATCACTTTTTTATAATGGATGGACTAAAATATGTGATATTTTGCACGTCCCTTGGTCATATACGAATTGTCAGCAACTATTTTAGAGTTTAGAAATTAGAAAAAAAACATCTTCAAAATGAATGAAAGAAAAAATTTATGTTTCTTTTGAGAAAAATTCTAATAAAATAATGAATGGAAGATAAAAATATTTGTAATGCGTTTGGCGGGATGGCATCCTTCTTAAACCGCCTCCATCAAGGGTAACAAAGGCTTAAATCATTGAAAAAGCTTGCGGGAACTGGTCAACCCATCATAAAGTACAAGAAGATATAACTAAAAGAACCGCCTTGATCAGTTCTATTTCAAAACTTAAAAAGAATATAACTACTTTATATTCATAGATATTCTTCTCACTCTAGAAAATAACAAGGGCATGAAGGACTACTAACTTTTGCATTGAATTTGTCATTCTGTTATCTATCATCTTTCAGGCAGAGGGAGCGTTAGAAGGATTGCATAGACCCAAGAAACTTGAATTTAAGCAGTTGGTAAGGCAACATGTCATAGAGCCAGGTTGGGTTCCTATGACAATTTTACTGACAGGTACATCAACATAAAAAGGAATTGCACAAAGAAAATATATCAAGGTGTTATTTTGACCCTCAATTATTGAACTAAGGTAAAAGGGCACTTTTGTAATGTGGTACCGCTCACCTACCAGTTCTCACCTACTGCTCACCTACCCCACCTACCTCCCACCTACCACTCTCTTGTTTCTATAAATAGAGAGGGTGTGAGGCTTAGGTGTGCAAGGGAAAAATCTTAAGCTACCACAAAGGAGGAGAAAATAGCTAGAGAGCTAGAGAGAAGGAGAGCATCTTGAGGTTTTGTATCAAGGTGTCGCTTGAGAGGGAAACCATAGAAGGAAGATGAGGGCCCATCTCTATGTATAAGCTATGTATTCTTAATTTCTTTTGTCTTAGTGAACTATTTGATTGATTCCCTCTCGTGGACATAGATCCAGTTGGATTGAACAACGTAAACGATCTGTGTTTGTTTGTGCTCTTTGCGTTTCATTTCTATGTCAGGAAGTACATATCTCACAACAATTGGTATTGTCTGTGGGAAGATCCATACTTCTTGGCTAGAGGTGTCCGCGTAAAGGTGTTCGCGGCCAGCGACGAAGAAGAGGAATTCGGCATTCACGAACAAAGGAGCAAGCGAATCGCGTCGCAGGCAGCCGAATCGCGACAGATTCGGGCAGAGAAGGGTTCGGGGAGTTCCCTGTTCGGGAGTTCGTGAACCAAGAGGACCTGAGCAGTTTGGCAAGGCGCGACAGCTTCGAAGAGGCAGTTATTCTCGTGCGAGAGGCAGAGGAGGAATTCCTGATTTGTTCTGCTGGACGCAGAGGAGTGCCTGCGGGAAGGAGGCGCGAGCACAGAACAGGAACTTTTCTCCGGTGAACAGGTGTGATCTCTGCCAGAAGGGATCAGAGCTCTCCGTTCGGTTGGCGAAGGCAGTGGAGTTCACGGGGAAAAGGTAAGAAATTTGGTGAGAATTTCTTGGACAGCAAGGCGTTAAAAGGCAGGTTTAGGCTAAAAACTTTTGGTTGCTATATAATAGTACAACATTTTGGTGATTTCAGCCTAGTTCTTGGAAGGGCAGCAGGTAGACTTCATTGGAAGAAATTCTAGCCACGACAATGAGTTCCGCCAAATTCGACATTGAGAAATTCAACGGGAAGAACGACTTCGGCCTATGGAGAGTAAAGATGAGAGCTCTAATGGTTCACCAGGGTGTTGCAGAAGCCTTGCAAAGGTCGGCGGCATTGCAGGCCGACATGATCAAGAAGAAGAAGATCGGCATACTGGACAAGGCCCACAGTTTGATAATCCTGAGCTTGGGGGACAAAGTTCTGAGGGAGGTGTCGAGGGAGACAACGACTCAAGCACTTTGGGTCAAACTCAAGGTACTCTACCTAACAAAGTCTGTGACTAATAGGCTCTTTCTGAAGCAGCGTCTATACTCCTTCAAAATGCATGAAGACAAATCCATCTCAGAGCAGATCGATGAGTTCAACAAGATCATCGACGACCTCGAGAACATCGACGTCAAGATGGATGATGAGGACGAGGCACTGCTGTTGCTAAACTCTATTCCTAAGAGCTACGAGCATTTCAAGGATGTGATGCTCTATGGAAGGGTGCAGACTATTACTCTGGAGGAGGTTCAATCTCTGATTAGAGCCAAAGAACTTCAGAAGAAGCATGACAGAGACAAGGAGATCAGCAGAGACAGTCTTATTGTTCGAGGAAGATCAGACAGGAAATATTCAAGCAATGGTCAGTACAGATCAAGGTCAAGCAAGGATAATGGGAATCAGTCATCAAGGGGATCTTTCAAGTGCTATCATTGTCACAAGGACGGTCATTTCAAGAGGAACTGCCCAGACAGGAAGAATAAATACCAAGAAGAGCCAGAAGAATCAGGAGAAGCAAGCGTCGCCTCTGATGACTACGATTCTGCTGAGGCCCTGGTGATCACAGAATCTGAATCCAGTAAGGAGTGGATCCTCGACTCAGGGTGTTCTTTCCACATTTGTCCTCACAAAGACTGGTTCGAGACACTGCAACAAAAAAATGATGGGTTCGTTCTACTGGGAGACAATAAAGCTCACAGAATTGTTGGAAGTGGATCAATCATGATAAAAATATTTGATGGAGTTGAACGAGTACTGAAAAATGTCAGGTACGTACCAGAGCTCAAAAGAAATCTGATTTCTTTAGGTACGCTAGAGTCAAGCGGATGCTCATTTAAAGTACCAGAGGTCAAAAGAAATCTGATTTCTTTAGATACGCTGGAGTCAAGCGGATGCTCATTTAAAGCAGAGGATGGTTGCATCAGAGTAACCAAAAGCCCTTGTGTCGTCATACAAGGAGTCAGGAAAAAAAGGGTTGTACTCTCTTATCGGAAGAACCGTGATTGCTAAGTCCATGTGCTGTTTGGACTTAATAAACTCAAGCAAGAGCTGAGGGCCCCTCAGAGGCCAGGTGGAGGGAATCTTTACTTTGAAGCTTATCAATTGAGGGTCAAGGTGGAGAATTGTTATTTTGACCCCCAATTATTGAACTAAGGTAAAAAGACACTTTTGTAATGTGGTACCGCTCACCTACCACCTCCCACCTCCCACCTCCCACCTACCACTCTCTTGCGTCTATAAATAGAGAAAGTGTGAGGCTTAAGAGTGCAAGGGAAGAGATCTTAAGCTACCACAAAGAAGAAAAGAATAGCTAGAGAGCATCTTGAGGCCTTGTATGAAGGTGTCGCTTGAGAGGGAGGTCACAGAAGAAAGTTGAAGGCTCATCTCTATGTATAAGCTACATATTCTACATTTCTTTTGCCTTAGTGAACTATTTGATTGATTCCCTCCCATGGACGTAGATCCAGTTGGATTGAACCACGTAAACGATGAACCACGTAAACACGATCTGTATTTGTTTGTGTTCTTTGCGTTTCATTTCTATGTCAGGAAGTACATATCTCACAACACAAGGGTTTTTTGAACTACGAATAAAAAGCAGGCCCAAACAACCACCATAAGATGTTTACCAGGATTGAAAAGCATAAGAAATAGAATTAGGACTACAACATTCTTCCATGAGGATAGATAATTGCTTTATAGTATAGACTACTCACCTAAAATAAAATTTACTGCTTGATGGAAAATTGCGGAAAAGGAAGAGTCGCTTCTCCCTGCATGAACTAAGATATATAGTTAAAAACTGTAATTCTTGGGAAGACGGTCATAAAATAAGAGAAATATGTTCAGTATATATTTATCTTTCACTGATATCCCATCAGCAAACTGAACCAAGAAGTCAATCGATGTACTGAGCCGCTCAATTTCATTTTCGTCATCGATGTCTGCAGTGCAACCAGAGAACCAAGAAAATTGTAAAACCTAACATTTCACAACCAAAATGAAAAATACGATAACGAAAATATAGACAAGAAAGTTACTTAAATGCTAGATGACAACAGATACTGGACTGCATTGTTTAACATGAAATTTAGAAAATGGAAACTGAAAGAAGAAAAGTCGAGTTGATACAACTAGCTATTTGCAATCCCCATAAATTTGCCAGCTAAATAAACAAAGCGATAGTGAGAATGCTGATGCCCAATGCATTTCAATAGAAAGATAACAGAAGGCAATATGGTCCAGTCTCAAAGCTGGCAACAAATAAAGGGTTTGCAATACATAGCATAACATGTTACAAAATCTAGAATCGAAGTCAATCATTGATTTCAATTTGAATTCAGTTGCCACCAACCAGAAAAGAGCCTCCGCCTGACAGATCCACCATCCACATTTTTCTTCCATCCCTTCCATCTAACTGAAACTCAATCACAGAAATAACCAAATCTCAAAAATCAGCTTTACTGGTGAAGAATCCAAAAGAGAAACAAAAAAACAAATGACAACAGTTCAAAATAAACTAAAACATACCAAGTCTAACGAACCTCCTCCGTAGCACTTCATTGATCCAGTGGTCTCGACCATCCACCTTAAAATCGCCGCATCCATCAAAGAAATGGCACCTGCAGGAAGCGATCTCAGGGACAACTTCTGACTCTCTTCCATCTTCCAGAAGCTTGATCTCCTCTCTTAGCTTAAGGATCTCCAGCTTCCTCTCCTTCGCCTGCAAGAAGAATTATGGCTTAGGATTTCGATTTAAGTTCAAAAGACATGAAAAGAGAGAAGTGTCGCCACTACCTTCTTTTTCCATCGCTGGGCGTCAGATTCGGCGGAGGAAGAAGCTTGTGGATGGAGATTCTTGAGGCGGAAGAGGGAAATGGCTATAGCGATCTTGAGGGAGTTCGGATCCGTCATCCAGATCGGGGGAGACGCCATGAGCAGAAAATGGCGTTGAGAGCGGCAAAAGAGCCCGCCAGAACCAACATACAAAAAATAATTTCTCATGTATTTATCTATCTCACGCCTAAGTTTTCATATTTACACCTACATCACTCAAATTTTTGATAGCAAATAAAAAATAATACTATTAACATTTTGTTAAACTTGTACATATTTCCATGCATTGACTTACGGTTTGTTTGGATAAAAATTATCTACACAGCTATGCGTCCAGACTTCGATGAGATTTTTACAAATGTAAGCGACAAACCCACTAAAGAAAAAATGAAATGTTCTATATTTTAATGCATGACCTGGCTCGATCCAACACTTCGCTTCGAAAATAAAATCACCCTGTATTTTAATGCATGAACCGATCGGATCCAACCCATTGCTTTGAAACAAAACCGCTCACGCCAAATCAATCTTCATTTTCTTCTAACGCCGTCAGGTAGGGTTTCGCAGAGTGTTATTCATTTGTGATTTTGGTAGTTAGGGTTTGATTCGTTTGCAATCCCTTGCACTGTTGGTCGTTGAACGCATAGTTGTCGCAATCCGTCTCTCTCATTTAAGTTTTGTAATGTTGAAACAATCCTTTTGTAAGGATTTAGGATTTATGGTGCGAACACATGTACTTCTCTTTGTATTTTTAAGCAAGATAAGATAAAATAATGGAAAAACTTAAGGAAAATTGAGAGCGTAAGAGTCGGCGGAGAGCATCCAGGTAATTTTTTTTTGTGTTATACTTGCATTGAAAAGTTCATGTAACCAAGATAAGCATTGTTACATATAAATTTTATTTGTATTGTGCAATGACAAACTTGATAGCTAAATTAATCATATGGAATGATGATTTAGGGCCTGTTTGGGGCAGCTAATAGGGTACGGCGGCGTTTTGGCATTTTGAAAATGTTGTCGTCATGTTTGAATATCGCGTTCGGGTGCCGTTTTTGGTGCTGCTCCGAAAATCAAATCGTGTTTTCCTTATTACCTTTGCAAGCCGATTGTAGCCGCGTCCCGCGTATGCTTATTGCGTTTAGGGTATGAATTCCTGAGGTGCCTTTCCCCGCTCTCCCTTGCCCGCCCATCCGAGGAGAATCTCTCCTCTGCTACTTCACTCTGTCGGAGATCGGCACATATGAGGTATATTTTCGACCTCACGCTCTCGCCCTACTCGATATTCCCTCTCCTCCCTTCTCGCGGGTATGTAATTGACCCTTGCAGTGCTTTTCATTTATGTGCTTGCGAATGTTGAAATAACAATTATGATGGGGAAATTTGAGAAAATAGAAGCTTTTGCTGTGGCATTTACATATGACTTCTTGTTCGTATGATCAATTTTCTACTTGAGAAAGTTGGAATTACAATATTCAATTCCTGTGATCTGTTAAAAAGAAATGTAATGGGGGATTTACATATCTACCACTTCATTTCCTATTCAATTCCTATGCACTGTTAAAAAAAATATAATGGAAAATATAATGGGAGATTTACATACATACCATTCTATGCAGTTACATTTCAATTCCTATGCTCTTTAGTTAGAAAATATAATGGGGCATTTACATTCAGAACACGCAATTCCTTAATGATGAAATTTGCATTAGTGATGAATGCTTTATCATACATAAGGTATGGTGGAATTTACATTAGTTGAATGCTTTCTCATTTATCTTAAAATATAATGGGGCATTTACATACAAACAGAACACGCAATTCTCTTTATTATTTGAAGTGCAAATATCTTAAATGTTGAGTACATATCCCTCAACTAGTTTGGGAAACATGGAAAGTTTAGTTCATATCCCTCAACTTTTTTCAAATGCTTTGTGAAGTGGGTAACATGGAAAGTTGTTTCAAAAGCACGTATCCTCGTCTCCTACTAATTCCTTTTCTTAATGTTAGTAATTGGGGAAGGAGTTCTTAAATGCATACATTTTTCAGTTATCTAATTTGGTGAGAGCAAATAAAATAAGGTGTTTATTTTTGTTATTGGTGCTGAAGTCCTATATATGTGGAGTTGTTTGTATCTGTTTTTGTTGTTGAGATGAGTTGCAAGCTATATCTGGAATGGGGATAAATCGTTTTACTCTTGAGATGATTGGAATGGTGTTGAGCACAGTGGTAATGGTGTTGAGATGAGTTGTAAGGTGGCATATATTTATCTCTAGAATGGGAATTGTTTTAGTCTTGATAAGTGGTGATGGGGTTGAGCATACTTCACTTTTAGGAGAACTGGACATTTGCACTTGTATTGGTTGGAGATGAGCGGTATTGTCCTTCATAGCTATTCTGAAGGATCATTTGGCTATTAGGTTGATTCAGTGCTCTTTGTTAGGCTATTTGGTTTCATTAGGCAATTCAGTTTATTCTCAATTCATATTAGTTTTGCCTTAAATCCTGAATTTTCTATAAAGAGAGAGAGAGAGAGAGAATTTATGAAGGGCGAGAAACATAAAAATTTGGCCATAATTTTGCTCTATTTCTACGTATCTTCTTAAAGTTTACGAAGCTTTGTCATGCAAAACTCTTCAATTGGAGACAAAATTCTCAATTGGCAACCTGCTATCCGAATTTGATGGCAACTTGCTATCTGAATTTGATGATTATATTGGATTGTTGGAGATAAGTCTTTCTTTTTCCTTACAATTATTACTTGTACTTATATTTTAAGTTACTTATAGTTCAACATGTCTAAGACAAATGAAGGGGGTTTGTCTGCTATGTGAGATAAGGAAGTTACAAATATTATTTGCAATTTCTGTATTAAATAAATAGACTCGGAAATAAGCCAAACACGTATTTTAACAAGGAAGGTTGGCAAAATATTACGAAGAGGTTGAAAGAATTGACTGAAAGAGATTACGATGAGCTCAAATTTAAAAACAGATGTGATAAATTGAAGAGTGAATGTAATGAGGGCTACATGAAGAGGGGCTACTTGAAGCCCTATCCAAACACCAGATATCATATTTCTGATTTTGAGATAGCCAGTGACACCATCCGTGACAGAAAATAAATGTTTAATAAACGTCACTCTTCTTTACACGAGGTAATTGAAATAATATTTGGGGTTTGGAAGAAGAAATGGGTCATCCTAAGTGATATGTCGTCATATTCATTTCAAAAGCAAGTGCATATTGTGGTGGTCACAATGACACTTCATAACTTCATCTGATGACATCTCTCTCAATCAGATAGGGACTTCAGTATGACTGAAAATGATGAACAAAATTTCTCTAAAGAGCTTCAGAATTTGTGGTTGGGTCTTCATTTCTTGAGGATGAGATAAACTCTAATGAATTTGAAATTCATGACGGTGAAGGTGTGGCCGAGATGGCTGCTTTGAGGGAGTCTATCGCAGATGCAATCTGTGGCAGCTGATCCACCAATCTTATTTATTCATTAGACTATAGATTTATTTTTTTATGTATTTTGTTTTGTTATTTTTTTATTTATGGATCTGACAATTTGTTTCTTTTTTTCTTGGGCAGCTATAACAACATGAGTTCCAGGATTTTTGGGACTAACGGAGTTGTCTTGTGTTACTGTAGACTACCGGCTTCGTTACTCACATCACGTCAACCTCGCAGTAGTGGGAGACAGTTCTACGGTTTTTGCAGGGGCGTTTTAGCTCATTGCAGTTTCTTCTGTTGGGCCAACAGTCTAGCATATTACACTACCAACAGTGATCAGGGTATGTTGATTTCCCATAGAGACAGTGCAACTGATGACAAACGTAATCAGAGTTTTAAATTAAATATTTTAATATTTCTCATTGTAGATGTAATTGTACTTATAATTATTTTATATCTTCTGATACTCACGAGAATGTGAGCACTCTATGTTATCTTTTTGAACTGATTCGTAATAATTTGCAATTTATGTTTTATCTATTTTTGTGCTCATACAGTTCCGTTGCAAACAACTTCACTAAACAGGGGCAAAATTATCATTTATCGAGCAACAACTGTCAATAAGTTGTTCTGCATAAGCTCCCTCAAACAACGAGTTAGTTTATCCTGATAAACTGCATATTATTAAATTGTCAGGATAATCTGCTTATATAATCTGCAGCTACCCCAAACAGACCCTTGGTATTGGAAGAAAAAAATGTTTCATCTTACCACCACAATATTATATATGACAATAACACCATGTCATTGCACTAATAACACTACGATAAAATCACAATACAACCGCAATAACACCACAATAATATTGTAATACACCCACAATCTACAATAAGATGACACAAATAACACCACTGTAAAACTATAATAACACCACTGTAAAACTATAATAACACCACTGTAAAACTATAATAACACCACTGTAAAACTATAATAACACCACTGTAAAACTATAATAACACCACTGTAAAACTATAATAACACCACAATAATACCATAATACAACCACAATAACAATAATAACATCACAATACAACCACAATAACACTGCAATTATACCATAATGTGTTAGCACAAATAACATAATTGTACAACTATCATAAGACCACAATAACACTACAATACAACCACAATAACACCATAATATAACTTCAATAACATCATAATGCAACCACAATAACACCGCAATAACATATTAATACGAAGGCACGAATAACAAGCCTTTTGTAAGGTTTTAGGATTTAGGGTGTGAACGCGTGTACTTCTCTTTGTATTTTCAAGCAAGATAATAGACGATAATATAAGAAAATAAAGAAAATAGAGAGCGTAAGAGTCGACGAAGAGCATCTAGGTAGTTTTTTTTTGTTGCACTTGCATTGAAAAGTTCATGTAACCAATAAAAACATTGTTACGTATAGATTTTATATATATTGTGCAATGACAAACTTGATAGCTAAATTAATCATATGGAATGATGATTTAGTATTGGAAGAGAAAATGTTTCACCTAACCTCCATAATATTATATATGACAATAGCACGGTATCATTACACTAATAACATCATAATAACATCACAATACAACCACAACACAGCCGTAATAACACCACAATAACATCACAATATATCTACAATAAC